TCAGCACTAACGTATGATGCCAAAATTCCAAGCCACCCACCTCCCTGACATAAATTGAAGCTACCATCTCCTCTATATTCTATCTGCATATTTGTATAACCCTCATTATGACAGTCTTGGAGACAGATGCGCTGATCGTCGGGGCGGGGTTCTCGGGCATCTACCTTCTACATCGACTCCGCGACCAACTGCACCTTAATGTGAAAATTGTCGAGGCGGGGTCGGATGTGGGCGGAACCTGGCACGCCAACCTGTACCCAGGCGCCAGAGTGGATGTTCCTTCTCCTATCTACTCCTTCAACATTGAGGAGACCTGGAAGGATTGGAACTGGTCTGAAGCATACCCGGGGCAAAAAGAGCTCCAGGCTTACTTCCAACATGTCGACAAAGCATTGTCCGTGGGAAAAGACACTTTTTTCAACTCACGTGTGAACTCAGCTCAGTTTGATACCACTACTGCCCGCTGGACCGTCAAGACAGAGGACGGCAAAACTTTCGTCGCCAAGTACTTCCTTCCTGCCGTGGGCTTTGCCTCGCAGAATTATCTGCCGACCTGGAAGGGATATGAATCTTACCAGGGTATCATCAACCACACTGCTCACTGGCCCCGTGGTGGGGTCGACGTACGAGGCAAGCGAGTCGCTATTATCGGCACTGGCGCAACTGGTGTACAAGTCACTCAGGAATGGGCCAAAGAAGCTGCCGAAACGTTCGTCTTCCAGCGCACGCCTAACTATGCTTTGCCCATGAACAATAAAACTCTAGATCCGGCTAGCCAAAAGCAGATGCAGAAAGATACTGGTGACCTGATCGCCCACGCCGCGAGCACAACGGGTGGTATGCACTTCCACAGCGCGACCAAGGCACTGGCAGACTGGGAGAACTTGGACGACGCCGCAAAACACGTGAATCAAATGTATGATGAAGGTGGCTTCAAGTTTTGGGGTGCCAGTCTTGCCGACATCACCGTCAACGAAGACGCCAACAAGTTCGCTTATGATATTTGGGCGAAGAGAGTTCGCGAAAGAGTCCATGATCCGGTGAAGGCTGAATTGTTGGCACCATTAGAGGCCCCACACCCATGGGGTACGAAACGCCCATCATTGGAACAGGATTATTACGAACAATTCAATAAACCGAATGTCCACATTGTGAACACCAAGAAGCACCCAATTGTCCAGTTTACTCCCAAGGGGATCATGACCGATGACGGGAAGATCTACGAAGTGGATGCTATCGCTGTGGCTACGGGCTTTGACGCAAGTACGGGAAGCTTGTCCAGGACAGGTATTCACGATCTAGATGGTGTTGACCTAGGGACTCGTTGGAAAAACGGAATTATCAGTCTCCACGGAATGACTGTCCCAGGGTTCCCAAACATGTTCCTGCCATACTCTATCCAGTCCCCGACCCCATTCACCAACGGGCCTGTCTTCATCCAATTCCAGGCCGACTGGATCCGAAGTATGATTGAGAAAATGGAGAAGACTGGCATTCGATACATTGATCCTCAACTTAAGGCTGCGCAGGAATGGCGGGCAGAGGTACAGGCAATCGCCAACATGACGCTGTTCCCTAAGGCGAAGTCCTGGTACCAGGGTGCTAACATCCCCGGAAAACCTGTCGAGCAGATGTACTATCTTGCAGGAATGCGGATGTATTTCGAAAGATGTGAAGCAGCTCGCGATGACAAGTTCGCAGAGTCGTTTTTCAGTGCTTAGATGTGGATGCCGGTGGTGATTGTCTCGGATGTAAATATTATACTACTAGGCACCAATCATACACATGGAGAAGTTGCATGTCCACAAGTACTGCCAATCCCCTAGGTAGCAAGTGTCTTTGGCAGATTATTGCCGCCCCTTTCCACCGAGCACTCTTTTACATGGTGAGCCTTCTTCCTTGTGAAAGTAATGTGTGATTCAAATATAATTGATAATAGATAGTATGTCCACTTAATTATGCCATGCCAGGCCCTGTTGCAAAAAAGAAAACTCCAGGACCATATCACCCAAGGTCTCACATTGTAAATCCCAGGCTCTCTCTCTTGAAGAGATTTCGAAGAGAGCCCCTAACTCCACATAAAGAAACGACGCCGACAAAGAAAATGACCATAGAGCAGTATCAACCCAGGAAGCGACCCGCGCTCAGTTGAGGAAGCTCTGGCCGGCTGTATATCTGAGCATTACATCCAACCCGTCACACCCATATTAGCACCAGGGTTTGAGCTCTCGCAGCTTTCATCGGTATCCATATCCATGTCGACATCCATCTGGTTGAACCCAGGACTCGTAGTCTCGCTCCCACCGGCACTGCCCACCGAGTTTATCCGTTCGAAAGCCTCGCGTCGCAAAGCATCATCGTTGCTCATCGCAGTCTCGTTGGCTCGGGGAGCTAATGCCTCACGGGATGGTTTGAAGGAGGGACCCGATTGAGTACGCGGCTGGAAGAATCGAAGTAGCGATTGCTGTCGCGGATCGACCGTTTCGGTAGGCTCGGAGTCCATAATTTCGTCGCATGCATCAATTGAAGGTTCATTTTGCTGTTGCTGGGCCGAAAAGATCCAGCGAAGGGTTTTCGCTGTTGCTCGTTAGCTCTCGCGTTCGCGTTGTAGCTAGTAACTAGCCGAGTTTGATTGGTCGCTCGCCTGACAGTCTTGGGGTGCGGTTAAGACGGATAAAATACGATGAACTCACCATATATTGCCTCCTCATTGGGACGGCCATCTCGAAAGCGCTTTCTGGTCCGGCTGTGGAGGTGTTTGGAGCTGTCGGTCATCTCCCAGTCACTAGACGCGGGGACGAATGGGCTAGACGGCATTGCCGAGAAAGAGGCTTTCCGCTTGAGCGACATTATAGCAATGTAGGTGTAAAGGAAATATTATAGGACGCGATAGAAGTGTCTCCGGCAATCTCTCTTGCTGCTCTGGTTTGGAGGAAGTCCAGTCGAGTTCCTGGGTTGCAGTGGGCGAAGAAGGCTGGGGATCAAGCGGAATGCGATTGGCAGCGTCGCGTTGCTTGGGACACGCTAGACCGGAAGAGGTAACATTGCACAAGTACTCCATACGCGCGACACGATATGCTCTGTGGCAAATGGTCGCTGGGGCTCAAAGTGATGGTGTTCATAGTCTATAGTCTGTACTCCGTAATATCTTGAATCTGACTCAAGCGACAGGACATCGTATGATTGCTGTTGTGCAGCCTACCACAACCCCTGCGGCATCATCAGCCTACCAGTACCTAGATCATCAGTCTGTGACCACACTTTGCTCTCTCGGGCCCTTCAAGCTCGAGTCGTATTCCAATAACTTGCAATTTCCAATCAAGAAGTAAAGCTCTCCTGTTCCGAACCACCTTAGACTCTCGGCATGCCGTACTAGTAGTAAGTTACTAGTTAGTAGTCGTGTTCGGTATCCCGCACTGCACCTGCTCCACCAGTGACGCTGCTCCTCCTCCCGCCTCTCCTCCCGGAGCTCCCCAGTTGTTTTCCCCAACTACAGCTACGGCGACTTTCTTCATCCATACATCAACACCACCCAAGACATCACCATGTCATCCAGAGAAGCTTCACACGCCGGGTCATGGTACTCAAACAACGCCAATACCTTGGCCGGGCAGTTGGACGGCTGGTTGAGCCAGGTGCCTGATACAATGGACCACGCAGGTCCTCTTCCTGTACCAGGAGCGCGAATAGTGATAGCCCCGTATGTCGTATTCCTTGCGAGGTCAAATTATTACTACTGGCAATAATCATACTGACCAAACACTGGCAAACAGACATGCGGGGTTTTCGTACTCGGGGCCCTGCGCAGCCTACGCATACAAGGCACTTGATCTATCTAAAGCGTGAGCTTATCTTGATTGTTCAGATGAGACGGTGTATCTCACACCATTATTTCACAGGAAGAGAATCTTTGTCTTAGGCCCATCGCATCACTATCCGCTCTCAACGCTGGCCCTTCCGCAGGTCACCTCATACTATACCCCGCTCTCCGATGATCCTCTCCCGCTAGATACGGAGCTCATCGCGAATCTCCTGGCGACCCCAGCAAAGAAGTCAAATGGATCCAGTATTAAATTCACGACAATGACCCAGTCTGTCGATGAAGAAGAGCACAGTATCGAGATGCATTTGCCTTACATCCACCGTCTTCTTCAACGGCAGCTTCCCACTACCCCAACCACGCAGTACCCTCCGCTGGTCCCAATCATGGTCGGAAGCACCTCGGCTGAGACCGAGAAAGCATTCGGCGCACTATTAGCTCCATACTTGGCTGACCCATCTAATGTTTTTGTCATAAGCTCAGATTTCTGCCACTGGGGCCTCCGCTTCCGATACACATATTACGTTCCCCAGGCCCCGACACCTGGGCCCCAATTGCCTCTTTCCAGTGACGGTCTGCCACAGCCGGGCATGGATGCCGATGATGTGTTGGAGAATATTGACTCAGTTTCCGCCGGGCACTCTTTACAGCGTCGAGACCGTATCTCTAGCAAAGAACCCACTATCCATGAAAGCATCTCAGCATTCGATATTGCTACCATGGCTGCCATCACCACAGGATCATCCCATGCTTTCCTTGACACCATTGATCGCACAGGGAACACTGTCTGTGGCCGCCATCCCATTGGCGTGATCATGGCAGCCCTTGAAGTGGCCACCGCCAATCAGTCCGCAGGCAACCAAGGTCGGTTCCACTTTTTGAGATACGAGCGGAGTTCCGATGTAGAAGATGTGTCAGATAGCTCTGTGAGCTATGTCTCTGCCTTTGCAGTACTATAGGATTTGAGGCCTTTTCACGACGCAAGTCTCCCTACTTCCCTCATGGTGTTCAACGAAGAAGGGTTTAGCTATTCGGTTTGAATCATTCAATCGCATTCCGTTCTATCTCTATGAACAATGCCTCTCGGCTAGTAACTGTACAAGTAAGGGCTATATAATGGATAGCCATGCTTCTTATGGGGTGACTCCGTAGGGACCTAACCATAATAATAGTTTAGGTGTTAGAGGCGCAGGAGAAAAGGACGACCTGCGGACTTGGCATTGATTCGAATGCTTGTTCCTGTAGCCCAAAGACCCATTCCACACTATTTCACGATTAGTAAATATAACTCTAAACGAGTCGGAAAGAAACTTACAATCAGGCAACACACGACAACCAAGAAGATATTCAACGCGGTCAAGGCCATCTTTCGGTAATTCGCGGTGTATTTTCCGCGATTCATCTTCAACCAGAAAAGGCCCTCCAGGCCAAACGAGAACCAGCTGCAGAATGCAGCCGCAATCATGTTGAGAAGGTCGTTGAAAACAGGGATTGCCTCGGCGATCAACCACGCAACGGTCCACATGAGGAAAGTAATGAGAACCCAGCTTCCATAGGAACGGAAGGATCTTTCGCTCATGGTGTGGGTGCCACGGAACAATCTCACGTAGATGCACTTTGCACCTACATGGCAAATGACAACTCCAGCAATAACAATTGTTCCGATGGAGATACCAAAAGCAATCTTGGAAACGAGTGCGCTGGTGCTGAGTAAAGCGGGACTCGCCACGTTTGGCCCGCCATATCGGTAGATGACTAGGGCAGTGACAAGATATAGCGAAGTATCGGTGGCTTGGAAAGCAATCAGAGCTTTCGGGTAATCAGCCGGGTTAGCCAGCTCTGACTGGAAGCTGAAGAAGGACATGTGACCAGAATAGGCCAGAACGATATTCAGAGTTGCCTGGAATCCGTTCATAAGGCTTGGGTGGGTAATGGCATAGGCTCGAGGATCGGGTGCTTCAATGCCAATGGCAATCATGGTGATCATGACGGCCGTGAAGATCGAGGCCGAAGCTAAGATATGTTAGCTGGATTCGGTGCAAATAGAAACAGAACATGATTCAATTTTCATACAGATGATTCCAAGCCAAGACACTTCCTCCAGGCGCCTCGAGAGCGTCAGGACGAAGCAGAGAATGGCTCCCACCAGACAAAAGATGATAGTGCAGGCACCGTGGTTGGAAAGAGTGTTCATCATGATGGAAAATGTCAAGATGTGGGCACCCATAAGAAAAATGAAACAAAGAATCTGGGCGACCCCGAAGATCTCGCGGCCCCAAGGACCGAACAAAATCTCTGACGCATCAGCCATGTTGTGGACTTGGGGGTATCGCAGTTTGAATTGACCGACGACATATCCGGTGTAAGTCGTCATGGCTCCAATTCCAACAATTATAATACAACCACTGCTTATATTAGTACCGAGTTCATCATATGCTAGTTCGAGAAGTGACTCATTGGACGTACGGGACCAAACCCAAGACTGCCATTGAAGAGGGCAGCGAAAGAACACCCAATGAGACAGACTGGGCAATCATCACTGTGATTTGATTAGCTTTCCCACTGCATTGGTATTCAGAAGGATTGGGTAGTATGTACGAATTGCGCATTGCCTTATGACCGAATATAATTAGTTTTTTTTGCATTGGGACAGCGATCTCTTGAAAGTGAGAACTTACCACCACTTCATACTCCTATACTGCACTCCACCAGCCTCCTCCCCAGCGAAGGGGTCTAGCGATTTCTCCGGATCCATGACTTTTTCCATGTTGGCGATACAAGGTCAAAAGGGTAGTTGTAACGTGAATGTTGAGAATCGCCTCCGCCGAGGAAAAATCTCTTATCGAGGTCGCCCCACTCTGGTTTCGTCTCCGACGAGTTGTTCGGCGCGGGAAACGAGAGGCAGAGAAAAACTCGAGAAAAAAATTGAAATTGATTTGGTGTACTACTCCTCGTGGGCGGAATTGCCCTGAATCCTTGTTCGGTTACACAGTTTCTGCCTTCATCATGCATCTCTGTGTGAGAGGGAGGGGGAGGGACAATGACAGGCAGTCCTGGCATAGATGCCTCTCCTTGAGCTCGTTGGCTATCACATCACGAACACACCCCGGATTATCTGACGATTCTTTCCCCGCATTGAGTGGAGTGCATCTGGAGCGAGTAATCTGTCAATGCCCCTTGTTGAAAGTTCTGACGGCGTCTTAGAAGGAGTACGGAGCAGGAACTGCTTGTTCCGGGCCCACTCCGTGTTCTAGGCTGGAAAAGAGCTTTGCCTGATTTTTAGTGGGAATACCCTCAATTAATCATATTTAAGGGGAGATTTTTCTTTGACTAGGTCTGATAGCCTCGTTTAATTCGGAAAATAGACTGGCAATGGGTTGCTTGAAGTTTTTATTCTCTTCCGTGACAAAGATACGCAAGGTCGATAGCATCACAACACGGGGCCTCGATTGGTCCAGCATAGTTAAGTCCAGGGCCCTCATATCCCAGGAAATAGGAACCGAATTGTCTAGGTAGTGAGTGATGGATTAAAACACCAAAGACTCTGAAACAGGAAGACTGCGGCTGGGAAACTTTCAAGCTAGAGATCTACGGCGTGCCGGGGCTGATCCTTGACAATCGCCCGGAAGCGGAAACGGGAACATCCGCTTCCGTCTCGAATTCTTCTGGAAACGAGCCTCAAAATCAGACGTCATTTCTTCTCTGCCTTATACTTCTTCATTGAACTATTACTTTTTTCTACTATCGCAGTTCAGGGATGTCTCAATTAAACTAGAATCCCAAGAAATAGAGCCCTGGAGGATTTATATAAACAAATAAATATATTCAAGTTCAGGTAACGACTGGCATGCCTGACGGCGACAACGTCCGGCTTCACTGACCAATTCCCCTTATGTCCTATGTACTATAATAGATCGATAAACTAACCATATATATTCATACCCGCAGATGTAACTCGTGGTCTAGGCTCGCGTATGGACCAGCTTTCCCTGAACCCACACGTTCTTGACGTTTCGGTCGTCACCATCCCACATCCACTTCTGGACCTGCTCCTGCCAGGTCTCATTTCCAAAGATATCAACATTGCCCACGGGACCAGTCTCGACAGCTCGACCAGCGAGAGTAGCAACATCAAGGGGGCTGGTAGTGCTGTTATTTGCGGTACCCAACTCAATCAGCTGCGCATCCCAGATCATTCCCTTGTCGAAGCCGCCAATGTCATCAGGCATGTCCACGACTGCTGCACCACCACGGGTGGCCAAGTAGAGAACCTCATCCACGAGAAGCTTTTCACTTCCATCGAAGGTCGTGTTTCCAGTCAGTGCTTGGTACTCGGAGCTATACTGAACAACTCGAGACACCAGGCTGGCCTGTCGGGCGACTTCGAGGATACTGGGGCTGTATCCACCGGCAACATCCGTACCCAGGCCAACGGTGACACCTTGATCGAGCATGAAGCGGACAGGGGCAAGACCGGATCCCAGGGCAGAGTTTGATGCAGGGCAGTGAGCAACCTTCGAGCCACGCTCTCTGATAAGGGTCATCTCATCCTTGGTGAGGTGGACACCGTGGGCCAGGATAGTACGGTTGGTAAGCAGGCCATGCGTATCATAGACATTAGCATAGCTAGTAGAATCCGGGAACAGCTGCTGGACGAGAGCAACCTCGTCATTGTTCTCGGAGATATGCGTTTGGATACGCAGAGGCGGGCTATAGGACGCGGCAAGATCGCCGAGACCCGTAAGAGAGTGGTTGGAGCAACTGGGAGCAAATCTGGGGGTGACAATGGGGTTGATCAAAGTTCCGTTGGGGTCAAGGGTGTGGATATAATCGATAGTCCTCTTGGTCGCATTGAATCCTTCATCGGCGGACGAATCAACGTAGTAGGATGGGCATTGCTCCTTGTTGTCCATGCAGACACGGCCAATGAAGGCACGCTGGCCGTGCTTGTGGCAGAGAGCAGCCAGGGCATTGGTAGCCGGGACGTGGATAGTAGCAAAGTAGGATGCGGTTGTTGTGCCGTGGGAAAGGGTCTTGACCACGACCTCGTCGTAGACGCGCAGGGCCTCGTGGGGTGTATCCTTGGGGTCGGTGTCCTCGTTCTCTGGGTCGGACTTGGAGCCGAAGCTAGCTTCCATTGGGAAGGTATACTCATTCAGCCAGTCTAGAAGGCCCTTGGAGCCAAAAAGACCCTCGTTGGGATACTGCGGCGCATGAATATGGGTGTCGATGAACCCAGGGAAGAAGAACTCGTTCCGTTCATCGTCGGATTTCACGACGGTGACATCGGATTCGGTCCAGCCCTGGCTAGACAACCAGGATTGGAAGCTGGCATCATCATTGACCTTCCAATCATAGCCCTTGATGCGGCCATCGTTGGAAGAGACCCACAGGACTCCTTGGGTTCTAGCAAGCTGCGGCGTCGAGTTATCCGAATCAAGCTGAGGAAGCTGAATGAATGTTCCACGATAGACCGTGTAAGGAGTTGCTGCAGCCATAGTGCCGCAGGCATTCAACACTGCTGAAGACAGCCATAGTGCAGAAACTCCCAGCGAGGAGCTGATGAATTTTTGAAACATGGTAAAAACGAACGTAGATTGATGCTCTGGATCATCTCACCATCTCGAGGACAACGCGGATTCATATATCTTCATAAAATCCAGGAAATGAAGGGTCGTAAGACCGGTGATACCGATATCAGAAGCCGGCTTCTAGATGCATTACACTTGTGAAGATTGTGGGGACGCCACTACTGAACGGTCCCCGCCGCGGTGGCATCCTCTGACGAATGTGGAATTCCTGTAGAAGAACGAGATAACAGGATCAACAGGGGCTGACGATCGCACCCATTTGCGAAAGTTTCTAGGCTCGGTGTTCGGCTGATTCCGATTGTTGCGCATTGACGAGATATAAGAAGGGCAGGTACAAGAATGAGGGCAGTCCTCCCGAGATCGCGACTTTTTCACTTCTCTTCGGGATTCCTCGGGCTTGTCGCCGCCAGACGCACGAGTGGTCGATCCCTGCCTCATGGCTCGATGTGATGGGATGTGATGTGAATCGAATGCTGCTTTGGAGTCGAAAAATCACCCCCAAGAAAAAGCAATGTGGCCGGTATAACTTCTTATCAGGGCCAAGGCGCAGACATCGAGATTCTTGTTTAGGCGGGTCGCCGCAGGATATTTGGCCTAGATCAACTTTTCTGTCCTGGTATTGTCTCCATTCACTTTTTGGGGTGAACATACCCGCGCTAAAGGCGCTTTGAAATCAGGAGATTGTGAGATGGTGGCTTCCGTTGTGAGATGGTGGCCGGAAGCCACCCGTGGGCGGAAAGTATCGCATTGATGCGTTTGACGAAAACAAACATCAAACTCAACTTGCTCGGTTGGATTTAATCCTAGGTCAAGCCTCAGATTTCGATTCTTTGTATTCGAAGAATATTACCCTGTTCATTTTCGTCGGATTCAAAAGAATCAATGCCTGTCCACCGGGGGATGCCCCGACTGCCGCTTGTACCTCGACATGAATAGCCAGTCAGCGGTCTACGATGAGCTCGCCATACACATCCAGGGATCCCCCAGTGGCCAATTTCTAGGCCTGTAACCCCACGGTAACCGCCGATGACCGACATTCTAACCCCAGGATTTCGACCCCGGATTCCCAAGCGAACATACACGAAGCATCAATGCTCACCACCTTGCATGGGGATGCCAAGTAGCAATATTACTGATATAATAGCAGGCGGACAATTATTACACGGAGTTAATTTCACATTCACTTCTTTCAATCCACTCTCTTCAATTTGACGTTTTTCCCCTTCTATTCCAGTATGGGTTTGAGTCCATATCTTGGCCTTCGCGGCAATTCACTTCTCAGAGCGGCTGTGGCACTGGTCGTCTTCCCAACCTTTACCTGCTATGGATACAATATGAGTGTGGCCGGTGGTCTTTTGACCCTGCCCGCCTTCAATGAGCAGTTCCCCCGAATGGACACTATCAACACTACGGGGGCCTTGAATAAGGAGAACTCCACGATTCAAGGTGGGTCCTCATTTTGAAGCGGTAGTCCTGGGTCCTCTAACAAATTTATCAAAAAATAGGCACGGTTATTGCTCTCTATACGGTCGGTGGCATCTTTGGGGCCTTGTCATGCGCCCATCTAGGTGATAAACTGGGACGGAAGAAGATCATGTTTGCTACAAACTTGATCTGTATGATTGGCTGTATTCTCATGGCCACTTCCTTTCAATTTGTCCAGTTTATTATCGCAAGATTGGTCCTTGGCGTGGGAATTGGTGGATATACAGCAACTGTACCAGTTTGGCAGTCAGAGATCTCACCACCCAGCAAGCGAGGCTCGAATGTTGTGACAGATGGCGTTTTTGTCGGTGCTGGTGTCACGCTAGGTCTCTGGATTGATCTCGGCTTTTACTTTGTCAAAGACAACTCTGCATCATGGCGTGTTCCTTTCGCTTTGCCCTCGCTGTTCTGCATTATGGCCATGGCTGCTATTCCATTTATGCCAGAATCGCCACGTTGGTTGATCATGACTGGTCAAGTTGACAAGGCTCGCCATGTTATGGCAGCTCTCCAAGATCTTGAGCCTGACTGTGCTGAGATTTCCGATATTATCAATGAAGTTCAAACGACTCTCGCCGTCTGTGGAAACACTAATTGGACTGCCATGTTTACAAATGGAGAGCAACGTCTCTTCCATCGCGCATACCTCGCAGCCACCGGCCAATTCTTCCAGCAAATGTGTGGTGTTAACCTGATTACCTACTATGCAACCAGTATCTTCCAGGTGAGTTAATTCTATCGAAACACTGGTCTTGGGGTCTTTGGGCTTTAGACTGCCGGGGTGTCAACTTATAGGTTTCTTACTAACATATCTCTAGCAATATCTCGGCATGGACGATGTAAAGTCCCGTATTTTGGCAGCGGCAATGGGTTTGATGCAGCCCTTTGGAGGTCTATTTGCCTTCTTTACTATCGACAGGCTCGGTCGTAGACCACTCATGCTCTGGAGCGCAGCAGCCATGTCCGTTTGCATGGCCGTCCTTGCAGGTACCACATCGCCCTCGGCTCAAAATAGCACTGGTGCCTTGGTCGTAGCTGTCATCGCACTCTTCTGCTTCCAGTTTATCTTCACAGTCGGATACTCAGGCCTGACCTTCCTCTACGCTGCTGAACTGGCTCCTCTGCAAGTCCGCGCTGCTGTTAGCGCCGTCTCGACCGCCACTGTTTGGGTTTTCAATTTCCTTCTCGCAGAGGTGACTCCTATCGGATTCGCTACTATTGGAAACCAGTATTACATTGTTTTTGCGGTGATCAATGCTATCATCGTTCCGTCGGTATACTTCTTCTTCCCTGAGACCAAGGGACGGTCGCTTGAGGAAATCGATGCAATCTTCGCCCAGTCGAAGAACATCTTTGATCCTCCTCGCGTGGCACGCCGCATGCAAAACACCATCCGAGCGGACCATCCGGTTGGTCTACGTGACTCTGAGAGCGGAGGTGAGACTAGCGACTATGTTAAGGAAGAGGTCAAGTCTTAAATGCTGTCTGGGCAGTATTTTCGTCAACACTCACAAAATCGACATGGATACACGGCAAATTTTTCATAGGGTCTGTTTATACATTGAAGTGGGATAGACTGGTCACCGAAATAGTAGTTTATGTAATTGGATCCTCCATGCCAATTAAGATGCTTGCTTCAACCATGAAGCAGAATGAGATATGAATGAAACATTCACAAATAAACACAATATTCGTTCCAAATTGAACTATAGACATGCTTAGCCTAAATATTAGTGATTTTGATTCTGTTGGGAACGTGATGTCGATCGACTTGAACGGCCGTTGGCTCAGGTTCAAGTTCGAAATACCCAAAGTATTGAAATTGCGCTTGCCAATAGCTGCTCTCATCAACATCCTGGCATTGTTCAGGGACATGTCGCCATTCTCATGTAAGTAATGCACCAGGAATTCATGGCCATGGGTAGTAGCCAGGCTCAGCGGGTTTATGTCCCGGTTTTGTGGTTTTGGGGGAGGCGCGTGGAGAGTGCGCGTGGCGGGGGACCGGTGAAAGGCATCCAGTCTGGCGGGGGTTTAATCTACGATGCCACGCGGGGTCCGTGCTCCCACATGGAAACACGCATTGTCTTGTCTGCTGTTTGCTTTCAACATTTGCATCTATTGCTTTGTTTATTTTATTTACCATTAAATACCACAGTTGCCACAAGGAGCTCATCAAAACGTATACTGCCATCAATACCTATCATCCGGGGAGGTTCGGCAACTCTAGAATCAAAATGTTGAAAGGATCATCTTTTTTTTAATCATAAAATCATTTCGTCAACTTCAAACTGCACCCGATTTCTATCCTTTTGTCTAATCAGGCCTGGGGTTTATTTTAAATTACTGCAAACCCTAAAAGTGCACACGCCCCAGGGATCGCAAAAAGTCCAACCCTTGGAAGAGGCATGAAACAAATGGAATCCTTTCATTTGTCCCCCCCGCCACTAATGATAGAAAATGGCTTGTTTCATATATCAAGGGACTCTCAGCAACCTTTATTCCTTATCGATGTCAAAATTTCCAGGGGACAGCCTTTCGGTGCGACCCGGGCCAATAAGCGCATGAGATCTCGTGTCGGTGGAGTCTTGGCTGACTTGACGACAACCTAAGCGCTTGCGCATGCTTCATGATGCGCCATCAGATCTCCTCAACACCCTACGACTTTCACCACCTCGCGCCGTGACGCTCTCGCATATATTTTCGCCCCCTGTTATAGATCCAAACTGTATCCGCATTGTCTATAATCTTGAATTAATTCAAGGAATAAAAGGAAGAAATTAAGGAACTAGAAGGATCGCGAGGGAGATCCTGGCGAGGACAAAGCACATTCTTAAATAGTCTCCTAACTCGGTATGTATCTCTCATTGATGCCAAAGTGAGATCCGCGCCAACTGGTTTGTCCGTTTGTCCATCGTCTATTCGGTCATCACCCAGCTGTTTGCTTAGTCGTCTGCTTTCGAGTCATCTCTCACTTGCTCCTTCCCCCCTCCTTCTACCTCAACCCTCTCTTCTTTTCCTCTATTCGCTATCCTCTTCTTCCTCCATTCCATTCTTCCTCCTTGTTCTCTCCTTGCCTCAACCCTCTTCACTTTGTCTCTCTTGATCTGACCCATCACCCAAACTCATTACTGACCACGCCCAACATGCTTCAGAGACTTGTTTCTCTCCTCTTGTTGGCCCTCATGGCCTCGATTGCCATGAGCAGCCCTGTTGGTACGGGCAGTGCTTCATCGTCTTCCGCTGTTTCTTCATCGGTTGCTTCTTGTGGTGACAAGCTTGTCTTCTGCCATTTCATGGTGAGTCTCGAAACGACTCGTAGAAACCTCATTGTATACGACCTAACATATTTCTCACCTCAGATCGGTATCGTTGGCAACCGCAAGAGTGCCGACGAGTACGATGCCGACATGCGACGGGCAAAAGAGTCGGGTATCGACGCCTTTGCCTTGAACATTGGAACTGACCCATACACTGACGAACAACTTGGTTTCGCGTACTGGTCTGCCGCTCGAAATGACATGAAAGTCTTCCTGTCATTCGACTTCAACTGGTGGAGCCCTTCTAACCCCTCTGCCATCGGAGCGAAGATCGCACAGTTTGCCGGCCTTGAGGCTCAACTCAAGGTCGACAACAAGCCCTTTGTCTCGTCCTTTGCTGGCGATGGCATCGACCGCCAGTCTATCGTCTCTGCCGCGGGTCGTGATATCTTCTTCGCGCCGAATTTTCACCCCGGTCAAGGAGACTTCAGCTCTGTTCAGGGTGCCCTCAACTGGATGGCTTGGCCCAGCAATGGGTTTAACAAGGCACCTACTCCTGGCCAAAATGTCACCGTTGCCGCTGGAGATGAAGCCTACATCCATGCCTTGGCTGGAAAGCCGTACATTGCTCGTGAGTTGAAACAGATATTGACAAAGACACATATTGGGCATGGTACAAGGCTAACCTCTCTTTCTAGCTGTCTCGCCCTGGTTCTCGACTCACTATGGCAGTGAAGTCTCGTACAGCAAGAACTGGGTCTTTCCTTCTGACTTGCTGTGGTATGAGCGCTGGCAGGAGATCCTACAGCTCGGCCCTCGCTTTGTGGAAATTGTCACCTGGAATGACTACGGCGAGTCTCACTACGTTGGTCCCCTTTCGTCGCCACACGGTGACGATGGCAATTCGAAATGGGCAATGGATATGTGAGTTCTCACCTCACCTATGATACCATCAACACCTTTAATATTCGCATTTACTGACTCAACACAGGCCTCACAATGGCTGGCTGGATATGGCCAAGCCTTACATCGCTGCATACAAGGCAGGGTCCACTTCACCCGGAGCATTCGTCCAGGAAGACCAGCTTGTCTACTGGTACCGGCCCACGAAGCGAGACGTAAACTGCGACGCGACTGATACCACGATGGGAGGCGCAAATAACGCCAGCGGCAACTTCTTCATGGGACGCCCGAACGGCTGGGAATCCATGAAGGACGAAGTCTTTGTGGTTTCGCTGCTGAAGACCGCGGCTGAGGTCCATGTCCAGTCTGGCGACCAGTCACGGACTTTCCAGGCCCCTGCTGGCATCAACGCTCATTCTGTGCCAATGGGAGTAGGCAAGCAGAAGTTCGCCATTACTCGGAATGGAAATACTGTTTTGTCGGGGACCAGTCTGAAGGAGATCTCAGACTCCTGCATCTGCGGTATCTACAATTTCAACGCTTATGTGGGAACCCTGCCAGCACCAGCCACAGTTGACCGACTACTACCGGACGGGTTGGCAATGTTGGCAAAGGGACTGAAGGTCGCGTGCCCGGCCAACACTCTCGGCGCCGCTCTTGCGACTGTGACTCACACTTAGGTGCAGCGAACGGTTCGATTGCATTGAATGCCGTACGCCTGGCGCTGCGACATCTACGGAGTATCTACGGATTCACACTTAGGGAACTACATATGTACATAGAATCAATCAGATTTCCCTCTTAACAATCTGCAAATCTGCATGGATCGGAATAAATTCACGGAGTAATTAGGCTGAACTGAGTGGAGCCGAGTTATTATCTTGCCCTGTCGTTACCCTATCTTGCAGGGATCCTTTATCGCCTTCTCCCACAGGTACCTTACACACCGTACAAGTACTAGTCCTCCCAGCATTCAGGGCTCACCGACTCTCGACAAATAGGAGTATCGACTTGGCATAAACATATGCCAAAAGCCCCAAATTTCCCGGATCAAATGGATTTCTCCTCAGAGGCCCGGCTGAGCTCAGAGCGTTGATCAGCAGGACAGGCCGGATACGAAGGCACTTACCCCGGGTTTATACAAAAGGTACCGACTGCTACTGCTATACCACGGAGTACCTTTCAGCCCAACAACCTTAACCAGCACCAACATCAGCATCAGCACAATATGGCGCGCATGAAACAAGGTGTCTTCTCCTGGGAGGATGTACTGGCCCAGCGATACCAGAGTCAGTCTAATCTCCTACTGAATAGCTTCCAGTCACCTACCAATTATCTCTAATCTCTACGCACGCGACAGGTAACAAACCAGCTCCCCTCCAACATCGACACCGAACCATCTCAACCCCCGAGTCCCCCGCACAACAACACCAATGCCAACTACTCTCCCTCTCCCCGGAGCTGCGCATGATAATCTGGGGATATGCCCTAGGCCACCTCCGTCTTCACATCATCCAGCGAAGTCTTCAGCGCCTCGGCTATATCATCTGCCCACTGAGCGCGACAGGAATCCCCGATAAAGCAGCACATGCGGGGAGTCCCTTCTGTGAGATCTGTCAAGGTGGGGGAATCCCCCAACCCGCCAAGGAAGCCGATCTAGTTCGGGCGGGACGAGATGCGAATGGAACCAAGCTTCTTGCGCTGGCATTGACATGCCGACAAATGTACAGTTGAGAGAACAAGAACAAAAGCCTATACTAGTACCCACTGACTTGAAGAGTTTCCCCCCTCGCGGGGAAACTGTACTTGTCTCCGGGTGAGGATCGTTTTCTAATTGACCTCTGCGGATTAGATCTCTCGAATCCACCCACCTACTCTACACGCTCAATACCTTCGAATTTAGCAACCCGTGGACGCTACCTTATTTCCGCCCCACCCTGCCGCTCGATTCCTGGGAAGCTATCCGCTCCGTTGAGCTGCGCTGGGCGTTCCCGGGTCACTGGCTACCGACGAAAGACCCTGTTCGCGCGGTATATGTGGCCGCAGGTCGAGCGCAGTGGCTCGAGACGTGTCGGACTTTGAACCGATTACCGAGTCTGCGGTCATTTGTGTTGGTGCTGGGGAATAACTGGTTCAGCGAGCCTGTAGAAAAACTACCCATCTTTCTCGAACCATTGCGTGGTCTGCGTGTTCAGCGTCCACGGCATTGCGGGTGGAGTGAGGATCCCCTATCATTAAAGCCAGGGCTGCGGAAAGACTCAAAGTTTTCCTCCGATGAGGAATCGGGTTTGATAAGTATCACACGTGGTTGTGAAAGCAGTCTGCGCTCGTCGCCAGCGTCGTCCTCCGCCTGTGTTCGTCCGTTAGTTTCAGCCGAGGTTGTGTCGGATATTCCCGCGCCGTTGGGACCGTTGCCGTCGTGGGAATTGCGATTGCAGGGTCAATCGTATTATTTGCACGAGATGGGGCGAGCAGGGGAAGGCCTGCGGCGGAGAGGGATCGACTGTGTTATCTCCATGGTGTGAGGGGAGGAAGAGTCGAGGCCAATGAGTAACGTCACGATTGCGTTGGGGAGAGAAGAGGAGAGGGATTCGCGTTCTCCTCATTAATACAACAATCCTCCAACTCTAGCCTGCCCTGTTTTACGAAATCCACATCCAGCAAATGTGCATTGCGCGATCGGAGGCTGGTCCGGAAAGCGTTGCATCTAGCCCGCATTTTTCGGAGTGAATCATGCAGCCGGGCCAGTTCGCTTTCGCTTTCGCATTATTTTTCTTTATTTGCTTCTTCTCCTTTCTTTTGTCGTTGTGTCATGTCTTCTTTTTGGGCATTGGGCATTGGGCATTGTGCCGATCTCTATCCTTCGCTCCCTAGTCCAGCTCCATCTAGACTCGGAACCATTCTAGCTGGCGCGGAGATAACAACCAAATTATGTAGGAAATTAGTAATCTGGTCGAGCAGTTACAGTGCAAGATTCCGGGCTCATCATTGCAGCCACGCCCTCGCACAAAAGGGGACATATGTACATATTCCTTGCCATGTGTGCCGAGTACACATACTCGTAGGTATGTTTGTAGATCAAGGGACACACCCCTCCACCCAATCCCAATCCCCAGCCACAGACCGACAGAACTACGATATGTACTCCCCCGTACTATGAACTACCAGAGTAGCTCTGGTCCTGGTGCTCGAACAAATCAGGCCCCAGGCCCCGCCAGAATGGACATGGGGAGATATACTTTATTCGGCACAGGGCCGACACGACCCCTGCACACGCGTCGCTTTGCGGTCGCAAACCTAAATCTTGAGATCCTTGTGAGAGAGAATAGACATGTACGGAGTAGAAAACAGACTTATAAGTTATGTACGGAGTATGGAGTATACAGTAGTGGTATCTACTGTCTGCACAACTCCAGTACTCGTATACGAGTAGATACTAGTGCTAGTATCAACGTATCAACCCCTATTGCAAGCCTTCTAGCCCTAACCCGATTTCAAAGACCCTGGACCCACTTTGTGTTCCATGGGTCGCATCTAAAAATATCCCCCTTTTCTGGACCCTCCAAGTCCCCATGAGGCCCGTGCTGCCCGAGTTTAACTCGGCCTTATCCAGCCCTATTTAATGCACTTTGGGGTAAAATATATATTAGTATAGTATGGAATGTGTGAAAATACATCTGAAGATTCTCACATACTTCATCTCAATTAGAGTACCACTTCTCGTGCAGACGAAGACGTAATGGAAGCGGGGCTACGACACGCAGCGTGGCAGTGATTCTCGAGAACACGCAGCCCGGTGCGGGATGTCGCCAGGGGCTCCACGGCTGAGTCCACGGTGGATCCACTTGCAGGGTTGTGGCAGGCGCTAGCAAAGTCATCGCGGGGGGGATGATCGCACATCATAATCAAACAGGTAATTTATGTATTACTAGGTGGAAACAGGGTCCAGGCGGAGTTGCCAAGCGGACAAGCGGACTCGGAGTTGGAAAGCGGAGTTTACGAGAGAAATACACAGATTGAAGTTGAAGTGATGATAGTTGATAAAAAAAATTAAATAAGATTGTGGTATCAGTATAATAGTGTTATATAAAAGTAAGGCAACCATTGGAAGCAAGAAGGGTAGAAGAAGAGAAAGTGAAGAGAAAAAGGAAAGGGAGGATTGATATCCTCAAGACAAAAAGTGAAAGATTGGTCGCTCCCCAGAGAGGGGAAGGTATCTTGCGACCAGATATCAGAAGAAACGTAAAGGAAAAAGATTTGCTGCCGTATTCTCGTACAACATGTGCCGTCTGGCAAAGAGAAAATGGAAATGCAAAACCCCGTATTAGAGGAAGTGTCAAGAGAAAGAAACCGTCACCTCTGGCGCCGTGCAAAATGAAACAGAAAAAAATGCCCAGGCCATTGCCATGATGTGAGAGGGGAAGGCCCTGAGTGGAAACCCGGCCAAGACGCAGAATTTGCTCTGGTCCGTGCTATTCGGAATGATATAATGAAATATGTGTTCGTGTCCATGACGTTTATCGGTCATTGTGGTGAATAGTTGGGATGGTGAATTGAGTGGTTGTGATGAACCAGTGGGCTGCTTGGAGCTCAGCATCACCGAAACTTCAGGTAAACGATTCGATCGGAAGGCTCGGGCGTCCCGAGTCTTGAAAGTCGCGGTCGCAGTGGAGTTTCACAAGTAACGCTGGTTTCAAGCTGTCGTGGCTGCTGTGGAATGCCGGGCGCACAGGTTACCTGGTGCGACCGTGTTGGCTCCGATCGGGTACATGCGAGTCCACGTTGCGGGAGGTTGGGAGGTCGAGGCGCCCGACCAGAACTCTAGTCAGTTCAACTGAGAAGTATGGTCATAGGGTCGCTCAAATGTTTCGACAGTAAAAGAATTCAGGGCTCTACTGGAGAACCCCTAGGAGAGAATGTAATAAGACCGACGGCGTAGCGATTACCGCCCATCGCGCGACCGGTCAGGTCCAGAGTGACCGTGTCCTCGAGCACTGAGCCACTCGCTCTGAGCCTCTTGGATGGCGTCGGCGTGCTTCTGGGCATCGGGGCGACCGACAAGGCTCCGTGGCAGGATGTTGTTGATCTCGGCCGCGAGGGCGGAGGCAGTGTAGCCACGCAGCTCTCTTTCTTCGCGCTCGTCCTCCTTGACCAGGCGAGCCTGGTCGGTCTTGGACATGTTTTCGCGGCGTTTACGTCGGATTTCGTGGATGGACCACAGAACCACCTCCTCTGATGCACGTTGACGAGGTTCACCGTGCTTGTTGAAGTTGCGAACGTAGCGACGGGTCACGTCGGTGGCGCCATCGATCCCGAACGCGACACAGTAAGAGATCTTTCGGCGCCATCCTTCGGCGTAGAGACGGGGGTTATCGAAGGCCTCCTCGCAAGCATCCACATGCACCCATCGTCGTTGGTGTTCAGAGTACACCTCTGTCCAGACATGGTCCTCTGCATTCCAAACCCAGCGAACACGAGCACCGACCGCGCGGCAGAACATGCTGAAGCAGTTGGCCCACTCGCCTGCTCGGCCACGGCGAGTCTGAAGGAGTTGCCAGACGTCGGAATAACGGGGGGAATCGCTCGTAAGCGCCGCATCGGGGTTCGGAACAACGGTAGAGTTCAACGCGGGTGGCGCCACGGGCGGTCTCGTCGGGGAAGGGGGAGTCATGCCTTGGGCGATGGTGGGCATGCAGCATTGCGTGCATGGGGGGGTTGTTGACGAATTTGAAGAAAGATCGCTTGAACCATCTGTAAAACAAGGGATGTCAGTCAATAAGGGTACGGTCGGTTGGGGTCTGGATGGTTCTGTGGCGCACCTTAGCAATGCCTTGATGACACAATCTTGGTATCCCCATTCGGGTTTACCGCCCACGCTGGCTGCTTGGGCCTGGATGATTTGAAACTCATCCTCGGCTTCGGAGTAAAGGCGATCGAGAGGGATGACACACAAGGCCTCGTCGAGGAGACCGGGGTTCTCGTATTTCGTCGGGGTGACAGAAAGGCCCTTGAGCAGGTTGAAGAATTTCAAAGAGGCGGGATCCTGAGGCGGAGATGGAATGATCGGAAGAGTGCGCATCGCAGCTGATGGAGATGGAGAGGATGGCTGTGTGGCTGCGGGCACGGCGGCGCCCATGGAAGGAGGCGGTGGTGGAGGAGCTCGTGAGGGTGGCGGGATGGAATAGTTGTTGGCGGAAGGAGCGGGCGACTGCGAAGTGGATCGTGATCGAGCATTCTCCTGGAGCTGGTTGAAGCGTTTGGTGCGCATCAGTTGTTCGAACTGATGTGTGAGTGAGTTGGCATCGTAGTTGTTGGTCGAGGCCGGTTGAGGCGACCGGTGCTGGGGTTTGCCGTCCGCCATGGTCGGTATAGAGGAGGAAACGCCGGCGGCAAGGCGAGATCGATGCTCCAGGATGGGGGAGAGAGAGAGACGAGGGTGACAACCCTACTCGTAGCGATATGTGTTGGAAGAGAGAGATGGGGGAAGGGAGAGGAGGAGGAGTAGTAAAGAAGGTCAGGACCCAAGGTGGAAGTGGAAGTGGACTGGCAGTGGTAATACTGGGGGATACTGCGACTGCGTATTACGAGCGTCGTCAGCCGTCCGCCGCCCAATCACGGGCCCCGCGCCCCCGGCCGCGTGTGCGAAACGAAAAAGGCCAAGACAAGACCCTTTTTCCGTATTTTTGCCTATTTTTCCCTTGCACACGTATGCTGCTTGGCATGAGAATAAGGGTCTGGTACGAGGAGACTATTATTAATTCTGGTCTTCTCCAGTTTATGATTATGATTATGATTATGATTATGAGTATGAGTTACAGTCATAACTAAGAGTACGTATTATTAAGTTTATACATGGCTGGTATACCAGAATCTGTAATTAATTGCTGCAGAGTCAGTAGTCATCATCAAAGTATGCACATCGATCATCCCGTGTACGCGTTTCGAAGCCTCTCCAATTTCCTAGAGGGCCTCGATGGGGACAGAGCCAGCACTGGTGGCGGAGACGCGCAAGCGTCCGTCTTGGCGGCCACCGCGATCGGGCTAGAGCCTCGTTGGGGACCCACCGAGTCTAACTGCCTTTGGTGATCCTCTCTGTCGATTACTGAGAGGTCTTACCTAGGACGAGCCAGAGGGTACTTCGAGATAGTATGTAACTCCCATACTGTGAACAAGTACCCATGCTGACACACCCGCTAAGCTGTGTGTGGCTCACTGGGGTGGCTCACTGGGCTCTCCCAAGCTCTCCAATGACTTGACCCCAGGGGTTTCTTGGCGTATGCTCCAGTCACACTCTAGAATAGATTCTTGTCGCTCTTGGTATGGCTCGATGTTCCTGTCGATCCCAGCACTCATGATTTCAATCTCCCACGATCTAAATTAGGGGGGGAACCTCTCCCTTCCAGAAGATGTCCAGTATGTACATCTGTAACGGACTATCCGTACCTCGTAGGAAGATAGTACTAATAGTAGCCACACCCACAGTCCCATATTGTGTACCCTGGTGACGCAACCCTGCGATCGCCAATCATCGCCCGTGGAAATCCTCCGAACGGTCAAGAGACCCTGACAAGAAAATTCAAAATAAAATAAGGATTCAAATAAAAATAAATAAAATACCAAATAGTAAGAATCTAAACTTCCAAAACAGAAAATGAATCAATCAAAAGGGCCACACAGACAATAGAAGCGGAGCCTATACTCCTCGTAGTGTCCCGTGATCTCAAGATTCGCAAGATTCGCAAGCCTGCGCTTCAACCCGATGCTTTCTCCCCCACCGACACGTCTCACACTGGAGGCTCTCCCGAGGATTTACCAAGCTCTTCTCCACTCCCGAGGCAGCCGGAAACCGTCACTCCAATCATATCCCATCTTGAATTTCCCTACTCCGTACGATGCCTACCGTAATCTGCTGGGAAAACGGCTCCCTATTTACCCTTTTTTCAATTGGGTTCTTTCAAGTCTGCCCAACTTGAAACGGCGGCGCTTGGGTTCACAGCCTCACTCGAGCGAAGATCGAGTCAACCACTTGTGGCTATGCAACCCATTCTAGTCACATCGACTCGTTCATACGGAGCATTTAAGTATGCCGTGCTGAGGCCCCAGAAATCGGATGAACTCTGTCAGTGCTGTGCAGAAAAATCGATCATGAAGCACGATCCCTTTAGTTCGGTACCACCGAACCGGTGGTCGTGGTCAACAACACACTACTACATCCAGTACCTGATTACGTATGTACTACATTCATCTCCCCCGTACAGCCATTGAATGGTATGGACGTTACAATCATCCTATCCTTATTCCACTCTCTACGAGTATCTATGGTACCCCCGTACTTGGCGACGACTCCCTACCCCCCGGCAATAAAATTGACTGGTCTGCGACAATGCAAGGAACCCGTCTCTTGGTGACTTGGTCACTCTGGGCAGGCTCATCGAGCCGAGCAAACAAGCCAATTCCACCAGTGCTTGCCTTGCCAAGAGCCCAGAGCCGTCATCGTCCGCATCGTCCGCGCATGGGCCAAGAAGAAAAGGAAGCTAGGGCGCTGCTTATCCCCGTGCTCTGACGTATCACCGTCCGCGTCCTCGCGTCCCCAGGACTCATGAAAAAAAAGCTGCTGTCATCTCCACTCCCAGAGAAAATCGCTAACAAACAATCGTTAATAACGGATGCACCTGCTCTTGGTATCAATATTCTTTACTGGGCATCACGAGAAACATGAGGGGGACTCAAGCATGAGGATCCCGCGCACGCGGCTTTCTCCTCCTCCTCGGGTCATCCTACCAATCTGCTACGTCCCCCGCCGTCAGCCAAGAAAAGATATACGCAAGTCGGCGGTGATGAGCAAAGTCTTCTCTCGGTGATCCATCCGCATTCGCATGTCCATCGTCAGATCTCGGCAAAGATGTTCATCGAACTCCTCCCAAGATCCATGAAGCGTCGTCGAAGCACGCACCACCTATTCCCTTCGTTCCGCTCGATTTTTCCTGGCAACGCATCCATGACGTAGAAAGGGAAGCTACATACAGATGAAAATAGCTGTGCTCAAGCTCATCGGAATTATTCTTTTTAACCTGGTCCACCCATAGCGCGCACTACCGCGCGTTAGCTTCACCTTCCGCGTCAGCCTCGAGTCCGCTCAGCGACTAACGTTGCGCACGACTACCATTATTCTGTCATTAGAGGATCTAACCGACAAGTTTTCTTACCTCTTTTGTGGTAGAATGATAATTATCAGTCTTTTTTCACTCAGCCCTATAACTGCAAGCTCATTTGGCGGAAACCCACTTATCACGCTCCTTCGCTTCGCTGCATCGTCGCAAGTATACCGGGCCGATAATACTATCTAGCGGGGCTATCTGACCGAAAGGTCTAGTGACCTCTCAGAAAACATTTTCTTTCCCATGAGGGGCCGGACGAAAGGGCGCGGCGCCTCGTCAGCGAATGCAGCGTGATGCCGGCACTGATGCGACTTTTAGGATCGACGCTGCAAGACGCCAATGCCGATGTTGATCGGGTTGATCATTGCGAAAGACGTTTCTCCCTCCTGTGATCCTTTATCTCGGCTGACGAATCCTTTTTGCCTCTATGCTCCCCTCGATAGCGGTGTTAGCGTCGGCTTTTTCAATCTTAATTTATATGCGCGATTTTTTTGTGTCGGAGTTATGCCAGTTTAGGACGAACGTTTCTGTTCTTCATATCCAAAGCCTGTCACGAGCGGCCGCCCCTGAACTAACAATCGATAGCTGTGTGGTTTTCATGCGCCTGTTTCGCGATACCTAATGCCTTGTCATATATAGCACTGCCTGGTAATATGGGAGCAAGAGCTTCGATATTGTGGTCTCCAGGGCTTTTTAGGCTATTGGAATAGCGTGTGAGCTCAGACATCTGCTGTTATATGGTTGGCAGTACTTAATTCTAGCAGCTGAATAATTACTATTAAGCCTCGTGCCAGAGTCCCAAGAAACGCGGGATATCAAAGCTAAAAACTGTGTTTATTCACCTTAGAAGCCCTGGAGCTTAAGGAGAAAAGTAGTAATATACGGGTTTCAAAGGTTGGAATAGCCTCCCAAAAGCTGTTTAGTACTGAATGTCTTTCTTGCTGGAGTCAAAATCTTCATTGGGCCATAACTACCTAGGGCTACTATGAGCAAAGATTTAATTGAATACTTGATGCCATCTCGAACGGCGTACGAGATCAGAGGCTTCATAGGACCTTGCGTAGTATGTCATCGGATATTGGATGATCTGCGCCAGCGATCCTATAGTTCAAAGTTTATTCGAAACAACTCGGAATCGTCAATGTTCCACGAGACAATATGGTGTTACCGACTACGACGTACTACTAGTATTCAACCCAGTTCTACAGACAATGTCGGTCTAGGAGAGCATCCATCCTTGTCGAGACCGTGACCAGCAATGAACTCGCCCAGGACACATTGGAAACCTGGTGACTCGATACTGCGTTCAGAGAGCGCTGTGTAGGAGTACAAGTCGAACATGAAGCATCTAGAGAGTTCTGGAATACTTGGTGGTCCCAACATGACGGGAAGCTACGAGTTGGTGATCTATACTATCTATACTGTAGTAAACACCAACCGCACCACTTGCCTCGAGTGCTCGGCTAGCAATGACCTTGCTTTCACCTCCCACCACTTCATCAACAGTTCTCTATCCACCATGTCTACGCGACACCAGCTGTGACATTTTTATCTTTGCGGTTCATCTCAAGCTCACGTCTCCCAACCATGACGGTTTTCATTGCCTCGCTGTATGTAACATCTCCCGCTTCTCGCTCAGCACCACCTCACATCCAGCCATCCAGTTTTCTCCCATACACCATTGACTTCGAATATTCCGGTCGGATTGGCAGGCGTCAGCGGAAACCTTCACCCAGCTATTCTGCTGTGGACAACTCAGGCCTCGGCCCTATAGATGGGCGACAGCCCGATCCTCGGCGCAAGCTTCGCCTCAGATCTAGCAGCTTGTCACTGACCCCCGGAGCGACAACTGATGATGAGAAGATCTTCAAGGGCTACGACTCACAATCCGCAGGCGAAATCCTCACAGCCGATGATCCAGTCGGACCCGGGCCCAATGAGCCTCGGGCTGTACCATGGGGCCACAGTCGCAAATTCAACCAGCCCCGTTCAAAGGCAACATTTTCCCCCCAGCCATCTATTCTAAGTCGTCCATGCTCACACCAGGAGTCCCGAGACTCTTTCCTAGATGGCGCGCCCGGTATTATGAGCAAGCCTCCATTTGGAAGCCCTCGGGCACTTCTGGCGGATGATGATTGGGCTGTCAAGGCTGCTGAACAAGGTCACGGTGGTCTTCAGAATGCCATCCATGCCGCAGAGGAGGCGGGCATCTTGCAGGATAAAATGTGGGTAGGAACACTGGGCATGCCAACCGATTCCCTCAAGCCGAAGACTCGGAAGATCATCGAGGAAACCCTAAGAGAAGAATTTGAATCGCTAAGCGTATTCGTCAGCGACAGTGAGTTCGAAGGTCATTATGCCCATTTTTGTCGAGCCGTACTTTGGCCTGCTCTGAATTATCAGATGCAAGAGAGTCCTCGACACACGGAGTATGATGATTACTCTTGGAGGCAGTATCTCCGGGTCAACGAGGCGTTTGCTGATACGATAGCAAGTAACTGGCGGCCTGGAGACTGCATCTGGATACATGACTATCACCTACTAACCCTACCCGGTTTGCTGAGAAAGAGATTGCCCACCGCGGAGATCGGATTCTTCTTGCATGCGGCATTCCCTTCCTCGGAAGTCTTCCGCTGCTTGAATTCCCGGGAGGCCCTATTAGATGGACTTCTTGGTGCAGATCTAATTGGGTTCCAAACAGAGGAATACTGTCATCATTTTCTTCATTCTTGCAGTCGGCTTCGGAGACTGGAGGTTTCGGCCAATGGAGTTCAAGTCAATAACCGCTTTGTGCATGTCAAGAGCCAACCGCTAGGTATCGACTATGAGTCTCTTAATCTGCTGCGTCAGTCCATCGAAGTCAAGGCTTGGATTTCGAGTATTGCTCAGAGGTACAAGGGAAACATTTGATTGTTGCGCGAGATCGCCTGAATGCTCCTGGGGGGGATCAAGCAGAAACTCATGGCCTACGAGCTGTTCTTAAATAAGTACCCTCGATGGCGAGACAATGTGAGCTTTTCTCAAATCGATTTATTAACACGGGCTGACGGCAGATTAGGTGGTACTAGTACAGATCACAGCTTCAGTCTCCGACATACCAGAGCTCGAAGCGCAAGTCTCGAAGATCGCGATGAGAATCAATTCGGTATATTCAACCCTCACTCATCAACCTCTGGTCTTGCTCCAGCAAGACATCAGCTACGCCCAATTTCTGGCTTTACTGAGTGTTGCCGAAATTTTCATGGCTACTAACCTCCGTGAAGGTATGAACTTGACAAGCCATGACTTCATCCATTGTCAAGACGGCGAACTATCCTCACAGAGATACGGCTCCCTTATCCTCAGCGAGTTCACCGGTAGTGCAGCTATATTCCAAGGTCACGAACTCATCGTCAATCCATGGGATTATAAGCAATGCGCTGATGCCATCAAAAAAGCCCTCGAAATGACACCAGAGCAAAAGAAGCGCAACTGGAAGTATCTTGAAGAACGGAAAACTCCATATACAGCCTTGGCCTGGTACTCGTCCCTACAAACTGCACTTGTCGAAGCCCACGGCATGCAACAGTCACGCTTTGCTCATGCCATCCACCCACTCAACATCACAGACCTCCAAAATTCCTACAATGCCTCCCAATCCCGTCTCCTCTTCATAGAAGATGGCGCAGCTTTTGTCACATCGACACATCCAGATCTTACTTACACCTCGAAGGAAGTGATCACCGTTCTTGAGTCTTTGGTCAGTGACCCTAAGAACACGGTCTACTTGACCAGTAACCGCAGCCCGGAACAACTAGACGCCACTTCAAGCCGCCTACCAAAGGCTCTCGGAATCATCGCGGAAAATGGCTGCTTCGTCAAGTTACCAGGTACAACCACCTGGTCTATCCTGAGTAGACACGACACGCACCCAACACTGGCACGCCGGGATCCGAAAAGTTATTGCATACTTCGCCGAGCGCACAGAAGGAAGCATCATTGAAGAACGCCGCTGCACGCTAACATTTCACTTCGCCGACGCAGATGACAAAGAGACAGCCGCAAGAAATGCTTCGGAACTCGCAGACCAAATCAACGGCGCGCGAGGCTGTGAAGCGATCCGTGTTGTCCGCGATGTTGGAGCCGTCAGTGTCGAACCACTTTACGCATCCAAAGCCACGGCCGCATCTTGGATCCTGAATCACTCTCCGGATTATAAGGAAATGGAGTTCTTCGAGTTTGTCTTCGTGGCTGGTGGTGCCAGGGCCGATGAGGCGTTGTTCCGTTGGGCTAATCGCTTGGTGTTGAAGCGGGATGCTGCAGAGGTGGCGGTTACTACTTTGACTGCGGGGACGCATGCTACTGAGGCGAAAGTTAGGTTGTCGGATGCGTATTCTTTATCGGATGTACTTCGGTCTCTTGCCTCTACATAGTGACTGGGAGGAAAGATCTTAGTGGCGGTGGTGATCAGCTATGTCTTTCTTACCAGGATCATCCCGGACCTTACTAGTACCAGTTAGCACTAGGCAATAGTTGTGTTAGCATTATCCTATGGCGATTACATCCAGGAATGGAGAAAATTATTCCAAGGTGTTTTTTTTTCCTCTCATTTTTTACTAGTCAATCTCAATATCACTCGCGCCGTTAGATCCGAACCGGAAGATGAGATCCGACAAGGACCCGAAGAGAGGGAGGGCAGAGGGCAAAGTACATAATATTCGTTGAAACAAAGGGGACCGAGGAAGTGAAACATCATATCCTTCTAAAATGAAAATGAACATGAACATGATCGAACAAAACACAACTATAAAACTCTCATCAGGAGCAAAAACAATCAAAAGCAATGATGATCGCGCCGCGCCAGAACTTCATGGGGATGGAAAAGAAAGAGAAACAAATGTGAAATGAGGTAGGAAATTGAGAAAGGAAATTGGAAAAGGAGAATATGAAAATGAGATACAATCGCAGGATGAATGTGACCAAACAAGATCAAATGGTTTTGAATATAGCACATCATGCGCGATTGGGTTCATGATCTCGCAGATCAAAGCATTGTCAGATACAAGGATGGAGAGCGAGATGAGCGCCTAGAGTAATGGGATTCAAGGCTTGTGTAGTAGGAAAGGGGTGCGGGAGGAGGGGGGGTGTGAACATGATTCATGAAAGTAGCCGTGATCAGCTGAAAAGACTATGCTTCGTTGTCGACGCAATGCATTCGACCAAGATCGAGGGGTTTTGAAGACAATCAGGCAGTATGCAAAAGACAATCCGAGAAGAGTCAATTGAAATTTCGAGGGTTTTAATTGGAATCCTTTGACGTTGAGGCCGGGTCGGTTCCTGCGGAAATGAGGGTTGGTGCAATACGGCGTTTCTTCGGCTGCTGGGCTGAAGCCTCGGATTCGGTACCCTTGCTCTCATCTTTCTCGGATTCGCTGGCGGTTCGGGTCTCGCGCTTGCCTAGGACACTGCTTGTACTACTAGTCGCCGTTCCGCTTGGGGTTGCGGTCGGCATGGGTGTTTGAGGCGGGGTGGTGAGTGGAAGTGGTTGCGCGGAGTGAGTAGCTGTCACGAGAGGAACAGACCCAAGGGTCGGTGTCGGGTTGTTAACCACATTCGCTTGCTGTTGAGATGATTGGGAACAAGCCGAGTTGGATCGAGCAGGGCTAGCTGGTGGTGCTTGAGCTGCAGGCGCTGAAGGTGTTCCACTGCGTACTGGTACATGTGTGGCCTTGATGGGAGACGGAAGGTGTGTAGGGGTAGGGAGGGGAGTGACGTTCGTTCGGGGTTGCAGAGCCGACTTGGGTAGGATCCCTTGAAGCTGGCCCCGTAGGTCCTGTGTAGATCTGACCCAACTCCCCCGGTGCGAAGGATAGAGTAGAACAGAAGCCATCAGATGAGCTCATGATCAACGTCAAGCCATCATTTGACCTATGTATTGTTAGACAAGAGAGATCCTGGACACATTAATGGAGAACTTACCATGTCAAGTCGGTGAAGGTCGCAAAATGCAGGTTACTGACAACGCATAAGGGGGTGTGCTGTTGTGTATCGTATACTAGAATAGCATCCTGTGTAGCTACGGCGTAAATCATGCGGTATGGAAGTGCGAATACAGGACCCGCCGTGCTTTCACTGCTCTGCGTTTCAGCTGTTTTGGAAGTTTGTTGGGCATTTTCACTACCTGCCGGTGCGGAGGCCGGTGGATCCATAGCTGGCTGGTTGGTAGACGCCGCAGCAGCGGGCACAACCGAGTCTGGCAACGGGGGGAACATATCTCCCTCGGATGATGTATCCAAGGTGATTTGCTTGGCAGGTAGAGTACTCTGCTTCAAAGTGTAGAAGATAGGAGAGCACTTGACAGCGACTGACGGCTTCTTATGGCCTGGAAGGTGGGAAATTGGAGGTTTGTTGAAACCGGCTCGCGTATACACATACACTGTGTTGATGATTTCATCTGTCGTCTTTGAAGGATCCGTCGCTGACACATGGCTGGTCTTGTATTGACCAGCCGGCGTGAACAACAAACTTCCGTTGGGGGCAAAGGTCAGTCGCCGAAAGAAAGATGTAAAAGTTTCGTTGGCATAGATGCTGGCGTTTTTCACTCCGAGTCCGCCCAGAAGGCTGGGAGACGAAACCTCAAGAGGCTTCACCGCGGGCAATGGCAGGGATGGCGCAGGAGAGGCGGAACGACGAATGGAGGGAGAAGATCCAAAGGATGAACGGCGGCTGTGGGAGACTGGGGGAGGATCCATGGGCAAATTTGATGCCATTGGGGTTCCTGGGGTAGACGGGGCAGGCGAAGCAATAGCAAATGAATTTGTGTTGCTTTGTTGTGGTCTGCTTGTTGGCTCCGGGGGAGCAGGGCTGCTGGAGGCTAAACGTTTCGCTGGCAGATCCATCTTAAGAACCTTGCCGTGCGGGGTCAATGTAAATTGACCATCTTTAGTCTTCAGGTTGTAGATATGAACCGATCGATCTGATGACTGAGTTGCCACAAATTCATTCAGCGGATCCCACGCGACGCCTTGGACATAGTGAGAGTGCTCGGCAATCTGCCGTACCATTTGCCCTGCAAGTCTCACTGTTAGTTGCTATGTTCAGTATTATTTAATATCTTCAGAGACACCAACCATTTTGAGCATTGTAGATCCGAGCGATATTGTCCATACTCCCTGTCATGATAAAAACACCGTCGGGCGACCAGGCCAAGTCGTAGATCTCCGCCCCGGACGAACGGCACATGTGTTTCACTCGCCAGGTTTCCTTGTCATCCGATCGGTCTTCTCCAAGTCCGGGTTGTGTTTGCAGCTCAGATGGAACCCAAAGCAGAACATTGCCGTCGTCTCCAGCAGATGCTAACATCTCGCCTAGGTATGTGGTGTCAGATCTGGTGTGGCTTTGATGATGTCGGATTTAGGGAAGTCCTACCTTTGGGACAAAAACGAACCACATTAACAGCCTGTGTATGCTTCAAGAGCGTGCTCAAGTATGTCACATTTCGTTCCTCGCCGGTCGATTCGACTCGCCATAGCTGTAAAGTGTCAGAGAAGGAGGGCACAGGCAGGGTATCGGGGGACTATGGGAGCGTACTCGAACGTTGTTGTCACTAATGAATGTAAGTCAGCGAATGGTTTCCAGCGATGTATTCTTTGTGCACTTACTTTCCAGCTGTCGCGAGGCGGCCCTTGCCATTGGGATCGAAATGCACGGAGTAAATGGGAGCATTGTCATTGTGCCACGAGATAAGCAACGGGGAGGCCTTCATGGTGGGCACTGTAGCTCCGTGGGCTGCTTTCGAGGACCGTTGTATCGAAGAGACCTATCGTCAAGAGGTGTTTAGGGACGATTTCCACCGCGGTTTCGGCGGATTCAATGGGGGTTTCGCTCGTGCCAGTCGGTTGATGGGGGGTTGTTTGGCAGAGCCACGACCTGGACAGGCGAGGGGAATCGGTAAGGGGTTTACCAGAGAAAGAAGAGCAGATTGAGAGGGGATTTTTGGTAGGAGAAGGGGGAAGGAAAGGAGAAAGAAGGGTGAGGGAGTGAGTGACAGTGATGATGCCTCGAGTTTGGTTTGCGCGGGCTGGGAACGCGACCGGAACACGATTAGATAGCCACCACCACTTACGAGCCCCCGATTTGATGGCGATCGACAACGCCTCCACGAGGTAGAATTCGCCCTAAATTACGATCCAGTTAGGGTATAACTAGAAGCTGCTGACCCTATTTATCAGCTTAAATGATGCTAGTATCCTGACGGTAAGGTTTATGGAGTGGAGTCTACTAAAAGCCAACCGGAACGTGATGGATGAGGTGTTGTGACTGGACTACTAACTACTACGTGGTGATATATATACTACTACTAGTACTATTAGCTAACCTCCCCCGGGGCCAGAAGGGAAGATCATCCACATGAACACCCCCAAGACTGAAAGCTACTAGTACTATTACTTTTGAACAGAAGTCCATACTACTTGTAAAACATACATCTAGAGTATCTAGTACTAGGCACCCGACTGCCAGTGCTCAAAGACTAGGGGTTTAAGTTCTGGATTTAATGCGGCAAACAGCCACAACGCCCCCGGTTACCATGGTGAATCATCAGAGGTCATAAGTTACAAAATAATAATTGGAGCTTCAAGTTTAACATAAAAATACAATTCACGTAAAATCCCCTCAATTGATCATCCGAGCCACTTTCCAATGCTCTCGCCGAACCAACTGGTCATCTTCTCCTTCCGCTTGGCCCGGCTTTCCTCATGAGACCTCATGAAGGGTGCGGCCTCCTCCGCATAGAGCTTGTGTTGTTCTAATTGTGCATTGTGGGCTCGAATCTCTAGCTCTCGCTCGTGTGGCGTTAACTGGTGGATTGGTTTCGAAGGTTTGAACCCTTCCGGAATGGCGACACCACTTGGGATATCGATATCAGACCGCTTGCCACTGGCCTTGGGTGCCTGCTTGGGATCGAAGAGCGACATGAGAGGTGGTGGTTCCTGACCAGCAGCCTTGGCCTCCTCTACACGTTTCTCATAGTTGAGCATCTGGTGGTAAAGTTTGTCTGCGTGCATCTGGATTCGCTCCTCCTTTTCCGCGTCCTGTTGGAAGGACGAGGCGTAGCCAAGAGCCTGGAGGAATTTCTTCGCATAGTTAGTATTGTATAAAGACCATAGAGCATGGCATGTTGGTCAGAGATGCACTTACACTCTGGGTGACGAAGCATCGCGAAAACGTTCCGTTCTCCGCGGCGCAGTTCGTTAACCGGGACTCAATCTGCTTGCGCCAATTGCCCGTTTGGAAGCATAGTGTCAACGCTTCATGCTCAAGCGCACAGTTTTCCATCGCCGCCCGCTGCACTGTATCTCCACGCTCCTTGAATTTCTCGATCACTCGACTCGCCCCGCCAGCGGCAGCGTCCTCCTCCGCACCAGCCAGCGGCTTATAGGTCTTCCACAGGTGCGCGTAGCGACCATCTTGGTATAATGAAGCGGCCGGCAATTTATCCTCCGTCTGTTCACTCTGTTCGGAGGTTTGCGTCGGTGTCTGCGTCTGGGTTTGCGTTGGGGGAGGTGTTGGCTGCTTCAGATTGGGCGCAGGTTCATATTTGCTGGGCGTCTCTTGCTCCAGGTACTCACGAAGGCCCGGGTCAAGCTTGTTGACAGGGTCATCTTTATTGTTACCCCAGAACCAGCCCATTGTTGAAGGAGTATAGCAGCGGGCGTCTGGATTCGAGAAGTGAAGAAAGGCGCAAAGCGAAGCGTTGCGGAGAAGTCGGCACAAAAATGGATCGGCCCTGATCGACTTGGGCCCCGACCGCCGTTGGCGCTTCTACTCTTTACTCTTTTACTCTTCACCACCACGACGCGTCTTTCTCGGCGCCGTTCCTCAACAATGGCCTCCAGTACGTGCGCGATATTTGAAATGCTGTGTGAACTATAGCTAATGGTTTATAGCGCGCGAGGAGCGGCAACAAATGCGCCAGCGCGGAGCTGCGTACGCGCCCCTCCCCCGCGAGACCATAACACGGAGGCTTTGGCTAACCCCGAACATAGGACGCGCAAAACCAAGGAGATCAACTTTGGATTTTCATTTGGAGGACCAAGTTTTGGATTCCCAGAGCCTGAACAGCCTGCTATCGTATCTGAGACCATAATACCGCCGCAAATCGAACCTGCTCCCATAGCTTCAACTCTCCCGCCCAGGAAGCTTCGTCGCAACCCCAGTCGCAGACAAAAAACCCTCAGCGCACACCAGGTAGTGCGCGTAATAATCGCCCGCAGCGTCCTTCTGCATATGAAATACCACCTGACGATGTTCCCGAGCAAATTCGCAGTAACAAGCGGCGAAAGATTAGTAGGTTACGCCATGATTCATTCTTTACTGGTTGATTCCCAAATTAATCATATCGAAGATCCCCCCTAGCGCGAAAAAAGACACACCTTCTTCACAAATTGTTGAAGATACCTCGCATGGCAACTTCCCACCTACAGCGAACTCCTCAGAAAAACAAGCCGGGCGCGCGAAAGCCCCAACGGAGACACCCCAGCAGGAAACCGCGGACAATGTGCCTGTGATACCATCTCCACCTGTTCCAGAGACGCATGTGCCTGAGAGAACCGAAGAGGCTGGAACATCGACTGTCAATGGAAAAGAGATAGAGGCTCCCACTCCCGATATAGCACCCAGCCGGACCCGATCATCAAAGTCCAGATCCCCGCAGATCGAAGCAGCAGTTCAACCCAATGAGCCATCGTCAAGGAAGCCGCGGAAATCCAAATCGCCCATCCAACCCGACCAAGAAACTGCAGACAACCAGCCAGAGCAAGCTCCGCGGAAATCTATATCGCCTCGGACCAAGAGGGGGAAACAGCCTAAGTCAAATGCGCAAGAAACGCCTAGTGATTCTGCAGAGGCGCCGGAGGCTAGCCACGCCCCTACGGCAAATTCTACAGTCGGTCTCGATGCATCTGATGTTGCCGTAAATGGCAAGCGGATACGCGCAAAGGCGGCCACAGGGAAGAAAGTTGCGAGAGAAGTGGCGGCTCAGGTCAATGGCAATCGCTCCAAATCACCAAGCACAGAGGAGGCGTTGCCGGATACTGCATCTGAGTCTCAAGATCAACAAGATCAGCCAGCCCAGCCCAGCAATATCGCCAAAGGCAAGCGCCCCCATAGAAAACCTTCCCCTGCGAAGGATTCAAATGATATCGAGACAGAATCACAATCTCAGAGCCCAGTGGATCCTGCACCCACTGCCGGTGAATCATCTACAACAGGTGTACGCCAAACGCGGAAGCCAGCAAAGAGGAAGAAGACCCAGCCTGAACCTGAGCCCAATCCCGGGGTTGACGAAGAACCAGAGGCGGAATCTGGAAAGTCGAAGTCCCGCAAAGGTAGATCTGGGGGGCAAATCCAAACGTGCTCTCGAGCAACAGGCAGAGCCAGAGGAAGAGGCGCCCCAGGAGCTGGAACGAGCGATGGAACCTGAACCACCAAAACAGCGTCGCGGCCAAGGAAAGAAAGCCAACCGAAGAACAAGAACAGAAGCATCTCCGACACAAGAGCTACCAGAGGCAGAGGCCGAAACATCACGCCCGACACAGCGAAAGCCAAGGGAACCTCGTGGAGAGACTGTTCCTGTTACCATTCATCGACTTGTTAATGCCTCTGCACTGGGCGCCTTTGATATTTCTGCCAATGACCCTGGAGAGGAAGGAGACAGGCCTACCGATGAGTCCTCAAATCACCAGAAGGCCAAGCTTCCAAATCGCGGAGGGGTCAATCCCGCCGATGTCTTGAGCCAGATTTGTCGCGAGACCTTAGAAAAGACCCTGACGACGCTGAAGACTGGAATTGAGAACGAAACAAACGCCGCGCGGCGTGCTGAATGGTCACGCAAACGCAAAGCCGTCGAAACCTTTGGCGTGGAGCTGGACGGCCGCCTATTAGACTTGAGTGAAATTTTGGACAGCAATTTCGTGCTTGGTGTGCAACTCAAGAAGGCGAAGCGCGACATGATGGAAATGCGGAGCCACTTACATCAGGTGCGGCGGGAGCGAGAAGGTATAGCTCTACAGATGGACCGGGTGCGCAGCAGGCACATGCAGAAGGAGAATGAGAAAACGGTAGGTTGTTGCTATACACCTGAATATGACCAGGAATTGGCTGACGATTGAACTATAGACACGTTCTACTATCAACAATTCCATCCACAGCCTCGAGCTTGCACTCGACCGCAGCCAATATCGTGGGTCACCATCGACCGAGCCATCTTCCACGGAGCTCGAATTCTTACTACGGAGTGTGGCTGAGGAAGTAAGCTGCCGCGCCCCTGGATCACAAGGTGGTCTTCTCCACCAAATCCAGAGTTTCAATGCGCAACTAGAATCGACGGCACGACAGCTGGAGAGATCGTGATGAATTCGTAATCGGAGTACTTTTAGCCATATTTGTCAATTTCGTGATACCACCTACCTGGCCGGGCCAGGCAAATCAGCGTTGCAGGGATTAGTGATTAGTTATTGTGTTACTTTATTCTTTTCTTCGCAAGTTCAGGGGGTGGAAGTATGAGTATAACCTTGCATGTGCATTGTACAGTGTGATGACGGTTTGTCAGCGTCGCTTTTATTCCCCGGTATCTCCGAAATAAATCCAATTGCTTCATCCCACGAGTACTACAAATAACAATGATATTCTCATCATGAAGTTAGAAGCCTGTCGAAGTACGTAGACTCAACTCTGTTTGGTCGGTCGGGATTAAATCGGAATTGAATCTGCCGATTCTCCACTTCGGAGACTTTTGGTGGGTGAATTCTTCACAAGATCTGCTCTCAACCAAGCCTCATGGGTCAGCGCTGCTTGGAAATCAGCCGGTGGGTCCAGGTAGCACTCTACAATTCTCAAATCTTGAGATAACATTTATCGAATATAAGAACTCTATCATACCTCAATATCTACCACCGTTTCTACTATCTACTATTCCAGCTCATCCCATTCCTCATTGGTGTCAATTGACATACTAAAGCATACACTCAACCATTTGCATATTCATTGCAGTATATCTACAAATTTCCAGATCACAATGAGCAAACTCTTCAATCCCATCCAGGTCGGGCGCATGGAGCTCTCCGCCCGCCTGGCCATGGCCCCAATGACTCGCTTCCGCGTCGACGAGAACCACAACCCGCTCCCCATGGTGAAGGAATACTACGAGCAGCGCGGCTCAACACCAGGAACCCTTCTTATCACCGAAGCCACCATCATCTCCCCCCAAGCCGGTGGCTACAGAGCCGTACCAGGCATCTATACCGACTCCCAGATCGCCGCCTGGAAGGAAGTCACCGACGCCGTCCACGCTAAGGGCTCCTACATCTACCTCCAGCTCTGGGCACTGGGCCGCGTCACAGACCCAACTTACCTCCCCAAACTAGGCGACTACGACGTCGTCTCCGCAAGCGACATCCCCGCCGGTGAGGGCGCAGCCAAGCCGCGCCCACTCTCCGAGTCCGAGATCCAGACCTACATCCAAGACTATGCGCAAGCCGCGCGCAATGCCGTCGCCGCTGGTTTCGACGGTGTCGAGATCCACGGTGCGAATGGTTACCTGATCGACCAGTTCATTCAGGATGTTTCGAACAAGCGCACCGATGCCTGGGGCGGCAGTATCGAAAACCGCGCTCGCTTCGCGCTGGAGGTCACTCGGGCTGTTGTTGATGCCATTGGCGCAGACCGTACGGGTATCCGATTCTCGCCCTTCAGTACATTCCAGGGAATGCGTATGGCCGACCCGATTCCTCAATTCACCTATCTGGCATCGGAGATGGCTAAGCTGAAGCTTGCCTTCACGCATATTGTCGAGCCTCGGATTGCGGGTAATGCCGACATCGAGGAGACCTCCGATGGACTGGAGTTCTTCCTGGAGGCGTATGGAAATGCCACGCCGGTTATCATTGCCGGTGGGTATAAGGCTGATACGGCTCTGGAGGCTATTGATGGCAAGTATCAGAAGTATGATGTTATTATTGGATTTGGTCGGCCGTGGACGTCGAACCCGGATCTGCCTTTCCGACTCAAGGCTAATGTCCCGCTTATTCCTTATGACCGGGATACATTCTATAATGCCGGATCATCTAAGGGCTATATCGACTGGGACTTTAGCCCCGAGTTTAAGGCTACCCAAGTTGGGGCTTAGGGGGGGAGTTCTCGTGGATTAGATTTTAGAGTGCTTATTGCATAGCGAGTAGATCACTGTTTGGCTAAGGCTAAATCTGTTGTTCTTGTTATATACCTAATATACATTAGATGAATGCATGATAGACTGCTTCTCGAGTACATCCTTCTACCAAGTATGGTATATGATATACGATATCTACGTCGATCCAAAGAAAATTGTGATCCCATCTAAGACGAAAGAAAGTATAGACCACCCAAACGACCTCCGATCAAAGCTTATACTAGAGGCAAGTCAGCAACCGGTCTAAAACGCAGATAACCCCATCAAGGGGAGGGAAGAAAGGAATAAATTACCCTAAATTCCCGATTCTGCCGATCCGTCAAATCCAAGAATTCCGAATTCTCTTGATGCACCTCACCCTCATGGCGCGCATCTCTGCGCCGGTTCTCCCACCCATAATAGAAGCGCAACAAAAACGCAAATATAATAGCCAGCGCCACGGTAACGACAAGCGCAATTTTCGCAGGGATGTAATTCGGCTCGTCCTTCGTGCGGAACGTGAGCGGGCCCAGAATATTACCCAGGCAGAAGGCCATTAAGAGAATGGCGTTCATGGTGATTTTCTTTGTGTGGCCGGCGGCATTGGCGCCGGCGAGGGAGTACAATATTGGCAAGGCGGACCCGATGACTTGCGTTAGGTAGTTACCTGCTAACTGGGCTGCTTTCATATCCTTTGGCGAGAAGGCGAGGAGACAGCCGCCGAGTAGACCGATTGTCAGCGAAGCGATGACGCAGAGACAGCGCTGATCATATCGCGAGGCACAGTATGAGGCCGTCACGATACTGACGATGCTCACTGCTCCATTGGGGATATTCAAGAGCTCCGTTTCCTTCGTCGTGAAACCGATGTTCTTGATTATGAGTGAGGTGAAGCTGCTCACGGCTGCGTTGGAGATATTCATTGAGGCCACGATGATGACGATCAGGTATGTTTGCGGATCACGGAATATCTCGACGAATTGGTGCCATTTGAAATGCTTGTTTTCGATACCTGTGCGGTTCTCGCGGAGGCGTTCGATGGCGAGGACCTTTTCGGCGTGGGTTAGGCGCGATGTCATGGGGTTATCTGGGAGAAAGATGACGATGCAGATTCCTACGACGATGGTTATTAGGCCGAAGATTAGGAACATTATTTGCCAGGATTTGAATTGGTCGTTTGTGTAGAAGAGGAGGCCGTAGGCGACTAGTGCACCCATTATTGAGGCGGTTCCTGTGCCTGAGATACCAAGTTCCCATTCGTTTGGGTTGTTCTGTTCAATTCAAAGTGTCAGAGGATTTATGTATGGTGGGTATGAAGGAGGTATACCGTTTCGTTTGTACCACATGGATGTGATAAGGATGAGCCTGGAAAAGGTGTTAGAATATGATAATCTCTAAATGCTGGATTATAGATTTTGCTCACGCTGGTGCAATTGAACTTTCGAAACATCCCAGCAGCACCCGGAGAGTCATCAATCCTCCGAAATTCTTCGCGGTGCAGTTCAACGTGGTCATCAGACCCCACAAGGTGACTAGATCGATCGGTCAATTTCCATATCTATTTCAACAATGTCTGGGCTCGTGGTACCATTTAGTCCCAAATATTTCGCTGTTGGTAGCCGCTGCATGAGAAAACCAGTGGGTAATTCGAAGACGAGGTATGTCACGTAGAAGGCCAAGGTCAGGTCAGAGAACTCATTGGTGCGCATATTTGTATCGGTCAACAGCCCCATCACCGAGGCATAGTTGACTTTGAAACCGACGTATTAGAATGAGGTGGCATCTTTGTTGATCCTATTGAGCACCTACTGAGTACTTTGTCTAGATATTGGAGATTATATGCCGCCCACATGAGCGGCATAATCATCCAGTCAATCTTGCGAACGAGGGCCTTCTCATTCACTTCCGTCGCATCGGTATTATCCTCAGCGCGGAGAAAATCCAAGGCTGCGTCTGCCTTTCCATCTTGGATGACCCCATTCTTCACGTCAACATCCACACTATCATTGCGGACCGGGTGGTCGTGTTTTTCTGACGGGACTCCCATATTTCAAAAATGTAGACTCATTCAATTGCTGTCTTCGAGCTAGGGAAACTAATTCGAACGCTCAAACCAACGAAGCTCATCTCGTCCAGTGCGAGGGCAACCCATTTTGATCTCCCCCTCCTTCCCCGCTCCATCGTCAGTGCATCTTTAGAGTAGCATTATCACTGTCCTCGGTTGAGTTCAACTACAACCTTGGGCCATCCAACGACTGATAACAGCCGCGGCGATTCCTCATGTAGAAGCTTGTTCCCGGGCAGATAGAGCGAGAACGCGGGGAAGACGGGCTATTCCGCCCTTGAGAGAGGTGCACAGACAGGGGGAGGAACATCCCAAGTCATGGTTGGCTGCGATTATCCTCTCGATGCCGACGCTGAGAGGGCAGAGCGGCAGATAGTGTGACCAGGTGCCCTAGGGTATGCTAAATATACCAGTGGTGGTAGATATGGTAGAGGTGGTAGATATCCGAGGTGTTTCTCAATGGTCGACGCGTTGTGGTTATTAGGCCTGATGAGGAAGGTGCGGCAGAAGAAGTGACGGTTGCTGCAAACCCCGCACGAAGAGTTCAAGTTGCTGCGAGGGGTTTGAATCAGTGATAAATCAGGGAGGGAATCAATGAACTCTTTCGGCTATAATGAAGTGAGCGGTTTCTGTGAGTGTGAGTATTGTTGAGATCAATGATAAGAGTGGAGTTGCAATGGTTGAGTAGGGTGGGTTGATCAAGTTGGACAGTGCTGACAAGAGTATGGCTAGCTCGATACATAGATTGAACAAACTCGGCGTTGATGTGATGAATTGTCATTGATTGTCATCGCTGTTGTGACCTCATCCAAGACCTGTTTTCAGACCAGAGCTCACCGCAGGATGAGCGATTTCCCTGGTGCGCTGCAAAGAGCGATGATCATCGTAGGATCCAGAGCTCCACGACTCTGTTTTTGGGAACTGAGTTGAGCTGAGCTGAGCTGCATTTTTATTAGCTTTACTTGGTAGCTTGTGCTAGCCGTCCAGGCAGGACACGATCGCCACCGAGTGTGTCTGCAACTAATCGAGCATTGGACGGCAGATGCACAGACTACCGAGTAGTCTTGTACGTAGGTTGAGTCTGCATTTGACCCGACCTATCCCAATCCATTAGCTTGAGCAATCACCCCGCATGACACCATCGACCCCAACACTTTCTTTTGTCGGTAAAGAAGTTCTGCATATCTCGGCCGGCCGTACCAAATAGTCATTCTTTGTTTTGCTCTGTCTGGGGGATATCCGGTGCAGCCGGGGGATCCACCATTTGTGGCTCATCAGCAGACATTGGAAAACCGTGGCATAACCATAACCGTGGGTAATCAGCCCAGAGTTCCGCTCCGCCGAGCCGAAAACGAGCAACCTTCTAGCAATGTTCTCGGCATCGGTAAAGGTGAAAAACCTGCCTCACGGGCTTTCCACCCACAGTTCCACGGTTCGTGGGGATGGAGTCCCCGTGATCCCGGGTCTGGTTAAAGTGGCGGAGGAAGAGACATCCCCAGGGTCCTCCTATTCATGACCCCAGACGGGGTATTCATGGTGCCGGGTATATTGTTTTATTCCATTGGTTCTACTGGCTCGCTGGCATACGTACGGCGCCCAACGGATAGACGGAGAAGCGCGGCACACACGCACATGTACATACATTGGCACGGCTCGTGGCGGCGGCGAGCAGCCACTGCGGTGCCGTCACTGATGTCGAGTCGGACCGGCTTGTGCGGTCGCAGACTGTGGTTCGTTGGTGACGATGCAGAGGGGAACTCAATGGGCTCATTCCCCCCGCACAGAAGATCAGTCAGATGAGATAAATGTGGGGAAAATAGTGGCTCTATTCAATAATTCTGGAGTTGTCGCCAATGCCATGCATGTTGATCTTGCTCGGCGCAGAGCCGGAAGAGCTCTCCCCGCATGCAGTGTGATCAGGCCATGTGCGGGGAGAAGGATGGTTGAAGATCGTGAGGATTCCTAAAATCTGGTTCGTAAGCGGGAGAACGGAAGTTGTGGCATGAGGAGGCTTGGATTGGAGAGTATGTAGGTATTTTTTTTCTTTCTTTATTTCTTCTTTTATTTCTACTATTGCTAGATCCGGGGGTGGCGATCAATTAAAAACCTTAAGGGCCATCGCCCATTATTGAAAGTCAAATACCGTATTTTCTCCCATGATTCGCTTCTTTTCGAACTTTGGTAAGGCTGGAATGCAGAGTTCGGTAGCTATGAACAGGAAAATCGTGGGTTTTCCACGTGGGAAGCTCCGCAAGCAGAGATGCATTTGCGTCATCGTGAAGAGCTTGAAGCTTGAAGCTGTACGAAGTATAGAATGGTGGATAACTATCCGAGTACTGTCTACTCCGCACGCCTAAGCGATGTTAACTAGAGTTACCCCAATTTCCATCAAAGACAAGCAATCTGGGGTTGACTTTAAAACACGTATGTCTCATTGCGGAGAGGATACGGAGAGATTATGTATGAACAATGATCGACTGGGGCCGCGAGGACGGCCTGCAATCCTGATCCTGATCCTTCAGCCCTGTGCACAAGTACCTCCATAATCACCCCTAAGTCATGTGTTAACGCGTACTAGTATGGATAGACTTCGACCTTAGCTACTGAAACGGATAAATGCGAAAAGGAAATTGGGTTGTTTAAAGTGAGGCTAATGTTGATAATTAGTGATAATATCCTCTACTATACTAATGTAGGGTACGGAGCAAAAATTAATTTATCTGAGTCTTGGCTCGTACACTTCCACAAATATTACGGAACAATGCTTGTTAATTTCATGGCAAGCCACTGGGCGGCTGCCACCGCTGACTACTTTGGTGGGCTGACTAGGCTTATTATTGCAGTAGTCTGATGCGCCATCTAATGCATGCATCAATAGTCGTGAAACTCCATCAATCATATCTGAGGAACCACTAGCCAAGGAAGGGAAGTTTGTAATTGCACCTCCAGCGTGCCAATGACCGCCCGATGAAGAGATTTCTATTTTCGACAACCTCGATCTAGTTCATCTCGCTAATGGTGGTTTGAGGTTGAGGTGTCTCTGCGAGTAGACTAGCGATTTGGAGATGGACCACGTCTGACGGCGTGCATGGCTATGTAACAGCTCCTGACACGACATTCTCACCGTAGCCACGTTGAGAAAGGGACAACTGGCCGCATTCGCATGGCATTAACCCAAAAGATTTTTGTTTCATTTCTTCCGCGAGCCTCGTCCTCGTGTTCGTGTGGATCTAGGAGCTTACAAGGACCCATTCGAAATCAAGCTCTCTTTGTTATGGAGTGAGCCAATCTGATACACGGCCGGTGTCACTACAATGGAGCCAAGCTCCTTTGCTGGGGAGCCTAGGGCGGGCCGAATCCGTAGCATGTGTGCAACACCCACCATGGGAGTCCACAAGTGGTTCAGAGTCGAGTCCACCGATTGTCCACAGCATGATCTAGTTCCTGCACAAGAGCTTTTTGGGATTGAACAGTCCCACCGGAATCGCGTCTCCGGGACAATCACGATGGGGATACGGAGTCGAAGACGCACACAAAAAAAGGATGATGAAAGTAAAAAAAAGAAAAGAAAAACAAGACACTGGCTAGGTCAATTAGTGTGCATCAAGGTCCACGTCGATCTCCATGTGTGGCTCTCCGCCAGTTTGTGTGTGAGGATCTCTTTCGAGAAAGAGAACAAAAACACAGCCCAGTTACCGGACCGATGGCCTGTCATGGTTTAGTGGCGGCGCGGAAGTTGAATGGTGCGACATCCCGGCCGTGTCGGGCAAAGTCTATCAAGGACCATCTCAATCAAAGCAAGCGCGAGACCAGGACCAGTTTAATGAAGATTTCCGCTGTCGCTGTCGCGGTCGGAAGGGCCGCGAGGGGCCGCGACGTTGCTACTCCACGCGTGATGGGACGAGACGATTTAGTGCTGGAACTACATCTCTTTTTCGTAAGGACCTGGTGCACCGTGCGATAAGCCGTGTTCCATCTGCCCCTCTCTCCCCTTTGCCCCTTTTTTGAGGTGGATGGGGTGGTTCGAAATGATGTCGAGCAAGGGCCAGGCGGGTGATGGAAGTGTGGTGAGAGGGGATTGGTGCATAAACCAAGGGATTCCACATGTAATTCCACTGCCAAGCACAACAGAAACTAATTGGGACTAGAAGGGAGTGCAAGTGTGGAGTCAGTGATGGATTTTTAGCCGGGAAGGTGTTGGACAGGTTCGAGTTTAACCATAATTCATGAGTAATCAATAATACATACATACATATATGTGTATAGTGGGTGTATTGCAGTATCGCAATACCGCGCCACAGGTTCTCCCCGAGACTAGCAAGCTTGCCATAAGCCTGCTATTGCCATGAGTACCACCTTAACACCTTTTCCTTTTCTCTTTAGCAATGACCCTGGGGCCCACCTGCCCCGAAGATCTGTGATCACCAGAGGGAGCTGAACCAGTGAACCGCGCTGCTCCATGCCTTCTGAACCAGTCTTATTCTTCTCTGGAAGGGTTTGCCCCCACATTCACTGTATTCTCTCCGGGTTACTGTTGCCATCCTTAACTCCGTGACCAGTTAATGTTTAGTCTCGTACCCGCGGATTGACCTCCCCATGTCCCAGTTGCTAATCCCCGGTCTATCCGCTGTGCCGTCTCCCCGGATGTATGAGGTCTCTCTTCCCCTGTGTGTGTGAGCCATCGAGCTAAGTGTAAAACCTGTACGGAGTAAACTAAAACCCTTGTCCTCGGTACCCTGTACCAAAGACCTAGGCCCGCAAACAAAAGCACCACACTGTTAGTCATTAATTAGTTAATTTTTTTTTCTTTTCTTTTTGTCTTTTTTGCCTTTCATGCAGAAAAAGTGTCTGTCCATGGGTGTGTTAGCTGTCAGTGGCTGCGTATATAATAAAACCCATCAGGCTTCCTCCCTTCTTCCCTGAAATCCTCTTTTTTTCCTTCTCTGTTTCCTCTCTGTTTCTGCCTTGTTCCCACTCTCGAACCCATCTCCTTCGAATTAACCTCTGTTAGTGTCGGTGGGACCTGCTCATCCAACTGCACATCATTGCAATTTATTGAGACCATCCTTTTTCTCCAGCGGGTCAACAGCAACAGGTAACTTTGTCTCCACTTTTTCCCTTTCGTCCATAGCTCCTTTCGCCCCTGCTCTTCCCCAACGGTGTTTTTCTGTTTTTTTGGCCAGTGATTTTTCGGCGAGGGTCCCGATTCCTTCAGCCGAGCTTCCAATGGTAAACACGGTTTTGTTGTCGTTCTCGGGCCAAGAACTTATATTAGCTCTGCGCCTCCCCTGACCTTACATCTTTCCCTCCTGTTCTTCATCTCTATTTCCATCCTTTCCAGCAGCGCTGATTGGCTTTTGGATTTGATCGCTTTTCTTCCCTTTCACACCTCTTTTCGATTTAACTGTGTTATCTCCAATTGAGACTTTCTTCCCATTGTTCAGCAAGCTGAACCTTTTATTTGCTCAATTCACCTCTTTTTTTTTATCCCTCCACCACCTCACCTTTTTTTACCAACCCTATCAATTAATACCTTTGTGAACTCTTTCTAGAACTTCACATATCATCATGTCTACCACTGAGACTACCAACAACGGCGCCCTCGAGAAGGACGTCGGTGTTGCCTCCGCACCTGGCGCAGCCAACCTTCAGCCGCAGATGTCGGCCGAGGAGCACGAGGTCGCTCGCCAGGCTGCGCGCTTCGGCTACGGCCCTCTCGCTCACGTCAACACTGCTGAGGCTCGTCTCCCCGCCTTCGGTGGTGAGTTCCAGCCCGGTCTGTACAAGCCCGTCGAGGGCCGCAAGTTCGCCAACCCTGCTCCTCTGGGCCTGTGCGCTTTCGCCTTGACCACTTTCGTGCTGAGCGCCATCAACATGGGTGCCCGCGACCTCACCCATCCCAACATCGTTTGCGGTCTTGCTTTCGGTTACGGTGGTCTGGTCCAGCTGCTTGCCGGCATGTGGTATGTTGTTTTTGAAAATCCCCCGAGTCGTGAAACGAAGCATCCACTAACGATATCCCAGGGAAATGGCCGTTGGTAACACCTTCGGTGCCACTGCTCTCTCCTCGTACGGCGGTTTCTGGCTCGCGTTTGCCATTGTTTTGACCCCTGGTGGCTTCGAAATCGAGTCGAGTCTTGGGGCCGTCCCGTTCGCAAACTCCATGGGTCTCTTCCTGATGGGCTGGTTCATCTTCACCACCATCCTGGTCTTCTGCACCCTCCGCTCCACCGTTGCCTTCTTCACCCTGTTCTTCACCCTGGATCTGACCTTCCTCCTGCTGGGTATTGCTTACATCTACCACGACGATGCCGGTATCCCCAACAGTAGCATCCAGAAGGCTGGTGGATTCTTCGGTTTCCTCGCTGCTTTCGCCGCCTGGTACAACGCCCTGGCTGGTCTGGCCGACAACAGCAACAGCTTCTTCGTCATCCCCGTTGCCCACTTCCCCTGGTCTGCCACTGGTCGTGAGCGCCGCGGAAAGACCGACCGTGAGCTGGCATAAATTTCGTTTCCTGTGTCGTCTCGATCATGACGGAATGAAGGGATGGTCGATAATGTCGCGTTGTCGTTGCGCGTTTGTAATGTTTTCTGATACCCCTCGTGCCATCCAGGGTTATGGTTGAAAAGTGATGGGGTTTTCCTGGTCATTTGACTTGAAACTTGAATATGGGCGAATTTCCTCTTTCGAAGGCTTTTGTTAGTCGGCGTCAATGAAATTGCAGTACCGTTTAAGCGTGTCCCTTTCTCATTTTTCTTTTCGGCTGTATTCCTCATGGCTTTGCTTTTCTTTTCGTTCGATGATCGATGGATTGTCTTTCGGGAGGGAAGCATTTGCACAAATCGGCTCAAGACTCGAAGAAGAACAAATAGGTTCTTTTGTCGGGCTCGAGTACATAATCAGGGGTGGTTCGCGTTGCGTTCCCCTCATATTTCCTTGTTGTATTTAGTCTCCTTGCCTGTTACCGCGTGGCTTGTAATAATTCACCCTATATGGTTAATACTCTCCGAATCCACGTTCCTGGTAACCCGTAGCTCTTCCATCCTGGTCCCTGCCCCTGTTTTTGCCTTGTGTTACCCAGTTGTCGGACAGGGTTGTGTTGTCTGTGGACTGGTTTGTCGAGGGCGGATCATGGACTGCCATGACTGAAGTCAACCTGGCCTAGACAATGAGCAATTAGTAGAAACGGAAGATAATGTTAGTCTTTATGATTGTTTGTTCATTGCGTAGCTGCTTTTATAGTAAAGCAGTTCCCAGGTGCGCACCAGTGCTGGCAGACCTGGACCCTGTGATAGAGATGATAAACACTTAATGTGTATGTACTCCGTATACTCAAGAGAAATGAGCTGCAAACCCTCCATTGGAGCAGGTGAATAGGAACAATGACCCAAGAACCATTCAAAGATTCTGTCAGTCGAAAAAGTTAACATTGCTGGCCAGCAAGAGGTGGGTGGACATGGGCAGCTATAAGTAAGTGTAGATCAGGTACGAGTACTCCGTACCCAACCAGATCTACTCCCCTCGGAAAGCAAGAGCATACACTCCGTTTCGACTCGGTTTTAGGTACACCTCAATATCCAATAGAAGGTGGGTAATAACTAAAATTATCACTGAGACACTGGGGATTTGACCTGAAAGGGGGTCATGGAGGGCAAGTCTGCTGCGCGAAGGTCAAGTCAACTCTAATTTTCAGACGCAAATAGTGGATGGGGAATGGAATGTAGATACCTATTTGGGATTGGGTCCGTTACTCAAACATAGTAAGGGGTAAGTTACCCTTTCTACTATTCCAAGTTTTTGAGGGGGACAAGAGCAGAGGAAAAGAGAAAAACAAGAAAATATTGGGCCTGGATGAAGGGTCTCTTTTGACTTAAGTCCCGACTGTCAGACTACTAGCTGAAACACACCACAAGCTCCCTATTCTATCCCGTCCCGAGCTTGCCGACCTCCACCCGATCCTTTCTCGGTCTACACTCGGCATTCAGGGGTCGGCGATAGTTCGGTCGGCATCTGTGGAGTCCCTGCCGAGCAATTCTTGGATTTATTTATGGGCCTGGGACTTGGTGCATGAGTCACGTTCGCATTGATCGCGATACATAGGTCCTTGTAGTAGATGTGTTGCGGGTTAAAAGGGGGAGGTTTTGGTGGAATGGTATTGCTGGGAGTGTCTGCGCCTTCGGCAATTGCTCGGGGGCCATTTTGTCCTTAAATACCCTTATTCTAGCTAGACTGACTGGGTAAATATGCACCCGGTGATCTGGGTAGCTTCTCATTCGTAGTCCAGGGAGGAATCTATAGCCTGGTGGATCGCACGGCTGGCAGCGGGCGTTTGCCTAGTTCTGTGCTCTTGATACGTTGATCGAGTGCTAATCGTACGGTTGAGGCAAATACTTTTTTTCAATAGGCTGTTTCATATGGTCATTACTCGTGTAGTATTTAGCATGCAGTATGTGCCAATTATTGTATCTGGTTTCATTCACATATCATGAGGGGGGTGATGGTAGAGTGGTGAGAGTTTCCATGGGTTCAAAACTTCCGTCAGGGAGGAGAAAATGATGATTTATCATCGCGCAGCCGAGAGATCCGACTGTAGCTGAACCTCCTGCCATATCTGACGTAGCATATGAAGGTGGGCACGATCGACGTAGAAGAAGCCCAGGAGGATGGACCGGGCTTCCTGCCAAGACGTCACGCCATGTAGACGGCAAGCCGTTGCGAGCTCCGAAACAAAATATGTGCGTTCCGATGGCATCACTTGGCTGCATGCTGCACCAATGAAGAGTAGCCATATCAACAGATCGCGACAGAGGGCAAAGACGCCGGATGGGATGGTGGCTTCCAGCGCCGCACGGAGGGCGGTGATGGGTTTTGGTAGCAGCGGTGCAATCGTTGGATAGAAAGTCCAGATTGCACTGTTGTGGAAACACAGGCAGGCTAGGCGAACGCAGCCCTCAATGGAATTATCGCCCTTGGCTTGGCCAGTGGGTGTGTACCGGTCTGAATGGAGTGCGTACTCCACATACACCACTTCAAAGTTGAAGTAGTCCTCGGTCTCTTCGTTGAAATTTTTGTATCCACTGCTTCCCTTGATCCATTCCGCATACCAAGTGAGTTCGAGGAGGTCATATATAATTTTGGCAAATACATCACTGAAAATTCCTGGGATTTTGACTAGGGGAAGGAGGCGGGTGGCGAGCAAAGCGATATCATCATTAGGCGGCGAGAGGGTGAGCCCCATCGGTCGACTTGATCGGACAAACGGGAATATTGGTCTTGTCATTGCCATACAGGCGACTCGGATATCCGTCCTGTGTAATTTGATTAGCTAGTGACATGGTCCCCGGGGTGAAAGTACTAACCAAGATATCTGGAAGCGGACATCAGGTGGGACATCCGCGAAGTTCTTACGCAGTCCGATCATTTGTCGCAAGCCCGCCAGGTGAATCTTGAGATAGTCGGGATTTCCCGATGCGATCTAATGTCGTAAGCGCGATGCTTATCTTGAAGTTTGGATTTGAGACTCACCTCGATCGTCAGAAGAGCAGAGACCGCAGCAATCAGCTCGTCACTTGAGGCCTTGACGGGATCCGACAATCCCTCATTCACCAATCGAATAGTTTCACCGCGGTGATGAAAAGTGTCCACCACTAACGCGCTGCGTGTCTGATTCGGATCTCGGACCGGCAACTCCCCTCGCTGCATAGCCGCATTGGAAGTGGCCACGCATATTGACGCGTGCAGGACAGCGGGATCCCGCTGGATCAGTGATGCCCAGTGCGCCTGCAATTTGGGCTTATATCGGGTTTGTAATGGGTGTGCTTCTTGTGTTAGATCCCAAAGGACTATCCATGAGAATTGTTAGTCAATTGAGTCAAAAGGTACCCAGAGGACGTATTATTTAGCATGAAGACTTACAATTTTGCAAATGTCGCATCATTCGATCTGTGAGCTGCGTATGTCCGGTATTGAATGGATCATGGGCGCCTGACCCCAGCACCGACCATGTTGCAAGCGAGGTCGATTGGTCTTCGTATCCCACTACTTCGTCATTAAACCACCCTTGTTGCGATGTATTTGCATAGTAGTCAACAGGAGGAGTGGTCACCGGAGTCAATTCCTGCTTCGTATCTGACTCGTCGATAAACTGGGAGCCATGCGAGGACGAAGAGGACGACGAGGGTGGAGGAGGGGACGGCCCTATGGTACCAGGCACCGTCTCGGGGGTTTGGAAGGAAAGATGCTTCCAAGATTTGCCCTTATAACGTTTGGTACTTTCCAGACGCTTTTTCCGGTTGTGTTCTGACATGACGTGAGACCGAATCCGCTTCAACGTCTCCTCCTTCGTGCCCCCCCGATGCTGACTCCGGGTCCGTATGGACCCAGAACAGAGTCGACTTCCCCGCGGATGCATTTGCAGCCCTGCGAGGCTTGCGGACCTTAGCAGGCGCATTGCGCTCTGTCTTTACCGACGGCGCGGCCTGCGATGATTGTGGATCCGACGGTTGAGACGCGGGCGGCGCGATCGGACTGATCGGCAAGAGCTCAGCTGGTGAAAGATTACTCGTACTCGTAGTCGGAGGGACGGTGAGAGGGTCAGGTTGAGGATTATCGTGGGTGGCGGGCCAAGGCGCAGTCGTGGGGGATCGTGATAGCACAGGCAGGGCTTGCTCATAACCCCCGGAGAAGGAATCCTTAGCGTCCATGATACGAGCTTATCCAACGGCTGTGGGTAAGAAGGCGAGAACAAGCTTCCCTGCCTCCGAAAGCTGAGAGTGAAAAGGCCGGAATAGAAATGCGGCCGGCTCGTCCCTAGCGCACGGGGTCCGCTTAGGATATTCCGCTGGGTAAATTCTTCACGCTGATGATAGCATGGCCGGGTGAAGCATGGCCCCCACTAACGTCGCTAGCGGGATCTAAGACTGCGCCCGGTGGGAATCGCTAGGAGGTGGTGATACTCGGGGAGGCGAGGGGGGATGATAGAGAGAGAGAGGGAGAGAGAGAGAGAAAGAGAGAGAAGATGAGAGGCGGCGATGACTGATACAAAAGTCCGAAAGAAAGTACGGGAGCAAAAGGTTAATAAACTTCTAGGCCCGTGGAAGGTGGAGGATGGGAGGTCTGATCTCAAGTTAAACCTACGAGTAGTAACGAGTAGTAATAGATCCAGACAAGCAATCCTGTGGGGAGCCCACTCCACGACTCTTCTTGGTTCTTGGTTCTTGGGGTAAGGCTTGGGGTATGCCCATGGCCATACCCCAATGCAAGGCCGATTATGAGCTTAATACTTTTGACGGTCCCACTGATCTTGATACCCTGCATAAGTACGAGTATGAACTTCGAAGACGGGGTGGAGTGGAATTGCCAGCTTGATGCCGATCGGCTATTTCATCTGACAATTTGTACTCGCACTCCATACTCCGATCTAGTCCGACCTACTTTACTCTCGAAATAACTATGGATAACTTATCCACTCCCGTTCAGATTATAATTTCCATTTGCTTGAATTTATTGGTTCTTCTATCATCACTACAGAGCAACGGAATGACTATTGGGTCTGGCTCGCAACTTGTGTTTCACGTACTGGCAGCTCGCACTGCGAGCAGTCACATGCAACATGAGCAGGGGGGGGGTAGCAAGAGAAATTGAAATACAACATGAATGAAGAGAAGACGAAAAAAAAAGAGAAATAGTAGACCATTATAGGGACTCGCGGCTCAAATCATTCCCGGTCGTGGGAAGACAGGAACCGTGCCCATTTGTTCTAAGCCACCCATTGTACCGGTCTGTCCGCTATTCTGCCAGCCCTGGCCCGTCTGTTGATTGATAAACTGACTTTGGCGGAAAGGGTTAGTGCTTCCCGTGGGGGTGGGCTGAAGAGGCTGTAGTCCCGTGTTCTGTGGGGGAACGGACGAGCTCCGAGCAAACGGATTAGTTCCCGTTCGCTGAGGCTGAAGCGCTTGCGGCTGTTGTGGAATTGGTGGGACCGGTTCAGTCGGGGGAGCATTGAGCTGGTGAGCAACAGAAAGACGCTTCGCAAACGGATTCGTGTTCTGCCTTTGAAGTGGACTTGCCGGGGGCGCTCCATTGCCAGTGGCTGTTGCATTGAGCATCATGGACTGCCGGAAGGGGTTTGTTCCGGTGGTCTGCGGCTGCAACTGATTTGCCACAGGTGGTTGTTGCTGCTGGGGGAATGAGGAAGGGCCGTTCTGAGCGACAGGTGCTAACTGCGATTGATATCCATATTGTTGAGGCTGGGGAGTGTATCCTCCGAATCCTGCCCCTGTAGGTATGGCCTGGAGCGGTTGTGGTTGCTGTTGCGCTTGCTGCTGTCCAAAGGGATTTCCAGTATTCTGTTGCTGGAAGCCTCCATATGGGTTTTGCTGGCCGTATCCTGTCATTTGAGGCTGCTGTGGCTGTTGCTGCGGCTGCTGCGGGAACCCAGTCTGCTGAGGGTAAAATGCCTGCTGGGGCTGTTGTTGAAAGCCCGTTTGTTGGTATTGCACCGGATTCTGCTGAGCCATCGGCTGTTGGTTTCCTTCGATCGAATCGAAGAAATCAATGAGATCTGTTGGTGGTGGCTTCTGCTGCTGGGGTTTCTGGGCCGGGGCTTGCGCGGGTGGGTCAAATGCAGATGTGGCAGCTAGCTTAGGTGCCGCCGAAGAGGTTGTTGCCGAGGACGGTCCACCCAGATCTTTCTTGATTCCTTTCTGAGCCAGATATTCTCGACGGCGTAGTTCAAAGTCCGGGTCATTCAAGTCGTCTTCCAAAAGGCGCGCCAGGTTGGTGTTGGCATGCTTGAGATTCGGAATCTCTAAACGGGTGGCAGATTGGAAATGCCTGGCGACGCCCAGAAATTCCACCACTTCTTCCGTCTGTTTAGTAAATGTCTTATAGATGGCCAATGCACGTTCGCTATCCGGTCTTGACATCTCAAAGTAATGCTCTATTAAATCCATTCTTGTTAGTGACAAGGGTGCTCGACTAGGACTTTGAGAGACATGCCTAGAACGTTGATGGTACCCTCATTCATGACCGAATACAGTGTCATGAGATCGAGGGTCAAGAGGCGAAATGCAGTCAAGCTAATCTCGTTCTCGGGCTCATCCGTCAACAACTATTTGGAATTGTTAGCCACAGAAAAGTCAACCCACAGCAAATATCACCTACATCAGCCCTCAACAGCGCACGGATCTGCTTCTGTACATATTCCGTTTCTCTCAAGAGGCCCTTTTCCACGCTTAATCGCTTCAGGCGCCCCGGTCCGTTTCGTACGTAATCCGTCTGCGTGGCTTCGAAGGCTCTTGCGCGAGTGATAAGATACTCAGCATAGCGGCGAATGTTGCGTCCCTGTGACTGGGCTATACTTTTTATCAGCCAATTGCCATTGCGAAGCGTAATGCGCCCACGATTTGAACTCACCTTCGGAGAAGTTGCTGGGTGCGATCTTCTTCGGGTTATCGGAGAGATAAGTCAAGGCCGCATCCTGTTGGCCCTCTCGGATCAAGAGATGTACAATTATAAGAGCCTTGAAGACAATTGTCCATGCTGAATCGCGTAGTCTGTGTTGTAATGTTCGGAACACCTCGGCAACGCCCGCCTCGCCAGTATGGGTCGCCACCAGGATGTTTTCAACGTATTTGGATTTAGGGGCCGCGAGCTTTTGCGCACAGGGTAAGTCAGTGTCTTTTCAGATCCCAATGTTCAACGATTTTAGCGAGACTCACCTTGAGCTTTGTGGCCCCCTTGACCGATTTCTCGAAGTTGGTCATCGTGTTTTGAGGGGGTTGTTTCGGGGGATGGTGATCGGCGCGCGGTTCTCAAGGATTTGTTTTCGAGGATTTGGTGATATACAGGGCTGGGTTGAGAAGAGACGAAAGAACCGAAGAACCTGCTTCAGGAGCCAATGCCTTCGTAGTGGCCGCGTAGGGTTTCAATCATCACTGGTGCTGTTCATGCAGTGCTTCATTGGCGCATGGCGGATGCCTAAATGGAAAGGGTCACGGGATATATTCGCAGGTTTAAAGAAAACTGAGTCCAAACGATTAGGAGAGTCGATCTGGTGATTAAAATTCGGGAGAGCCCTTGAGGGCGGATAGTAGGGAGGTTGCTCGAGGGGGGGGCAAGGGACAAGGCCAAGGTTGGGCGTAGGCGGAGCTTCTGGGCAGCGCAGATGTCCAGCGACCGATCGGGTCTAGCGCCGCGCTGCCGCACGAGGCGCTGTCATTCGCTGTAGCGGAGAGTATACATGCATACAGTAGAGAGATAATGCAAAGCTATTTAACCGGGGGGGAGTGATTAATAAATTGGGTTTGGTTCTTATTTTTTAATGATATGCTACTACTAGGAGCAGTGTGGACCGTAAGTTAATCATTTTGAGATATGCAATGGTCCGAGTCCTACTAGACTCGAAGTAGATCGGATATATACCTAGGTAGTATACAGCATAAACTGCAGTATCACCTATCTACCACTAAGCAGGTGCACCTTCCACACCTTCCACATGGGGAAGACTTCAAGTTCAAGTTCGAGTCTCCGAGTCAAGATTTGCTCTTTCTGACTTCGGAGGTTTTAATAAATAATATACTACTAGTACTAGTACTAACCAATCTCTTCAAACCTACTTACTGAATAATAACTTGAAAACTCGAAGGAGAAACAATGACCTACAAGTACTAATACTACTAGTTAGTGGTACTAGTAAGCTTGACGAGAACTTGAAGTCTTAGCCCAGCGAGCCCGGGCCATAATCACTGGCAGTGAATGTTATCCCGGTCCTTCCAAGTTCGCACTTGGGCTCATTCACGTCGTTTGTCCCGTCTCAAGGTCCTATTCTCCTCATTCTCCTCTTTCTGCCCACTCCACCTCCCTCATTTCCATTTATCCTCGTCCCATTAACCCAACACAAGAGCTCATCCATCCAATACATGAACCATCTCATTCATATCCAGAAACTCTACCTTCTTCATGGCCAAGATGGAGGACATCCAGACCAGAACGCCCATCGAACCACGCTACAACAGGAGGTTCGGGGAGTATCTTGAATTCATTCTCCGCACGGTGAGCTAAGTTTCAACTCTACTTGCATGATCCCAGGACTTAGATCTAATCTACATATTATTCGTCCCACAGAATCCCAGCCAGCCAAGCAGCGACTCCGTCGGGGTTGTCATCCTCACCCCCAGCTCTTTCTCGGATCCACTTCCCACGCAGGAGAGCATAGAGGAATCCGATTACAATGAGCTGTCCGATACCGAAGCAACTTCGATCGACGAGGGCGAGCCTTTGGTTCCGAGCTATGACGAGACATGCATCTATTGCGAGTGGGAAAAGGCCGAGGCCAATAAACACACGGGGACTCCATGTCCATCTCATCACAACGAATCAACACGCGTCAACTTCAACGAGAATACACCTGACATCTTTTTCCCAGAGCAGCCCATTGGGAGATTTTCTAGAGTGTCGCGGCGGCTCCCCTTATGACATGTACTCGGATCGTCCCGGACGATGTTTGCCCCAAGAGCTTCCGCCTCTACTATTCCGTTGGTGGAACAAGAATTCGCATGGCCTGAACACTCGGACATTGTTAATGGCTGGAGCATTTGCTAAAGCTGAGTCGCCAGTAGAGCGCGTCATGCTAGAAGGCATGGGACGTGAGGATTTCCTGTTAGCCTTCAAGAACCATGTCACAAGAGAGCGAGTCGACAGCCCATTCATCTCCACTTTCAAATCTCCATTGGCACCGATACACAGAGCCGTCCGTCATCAAGATGGTGCGGTAATCTGTGTTATTGACCCTTCTAAGCTGGAGACAAATGTGTTCAAAGCCGTCCCTCTGGTTGAGATGACAAATACCACACTCAGGAGCTGGAAGGGATTCGGCGAGTACGAGGTTTGGGAGAAGATCGAGGGACCTGCAATTGTGTGTACATTTGACATCGGGACGCTGATGAGTATCGATCATGACAGTCCGGTCATCGGTGGATTCCTGCAACTTCCCATAATCTGCGGATATGGCACATGCAGCAACGCCCTACATGTCAGGCTTAAGAGTATCCTTAAGTCTCACCACGACCATGACATGGCATTGTCACGGCTCATGGAGCTACTTGAGGTTCCCGAGCAGTACCGGGCTTCAATGTGTCACTGTTTCAAGAAATTGAAAACTGGACACAGGAAGAATTTGAAGTATCTCGAAGTGTATCTCCACGGAACGAAGTGTACGTTCAGCCAGTGGATATACCGGTGCTCCCATACCCACTTCCATTCACACCCCCAGAAAGATATCGAAGGTCCGTGTCAGAAAAATCCTACAAGCCTCCGAGACGCGACGAGGACACTGAAGGGGAATCGAGCGAAGAAGAGAAAGGCTCCCAGTCCCCCGCGGCGCGATGCCCTCGACATGATACACCAAGCTCTGGATTTTCGGTTCAGGATGACAGTGATGACGAAGATGCTTACCGGAAATTCAATGCGAAGCAATTCAGAGCTCATCCACCCATCCCAATCGATCTTGCGGGACGAGATGAGATCGAAAAAACACCAAATGTGTCGGATATGGAGACGGTCAATGACTGGCCGTCGGAAGGAGAAGACTATCAAGTTTAGTTTTTGAGAAGTACTTGTCGGACTATTCAGAAGTGGACTTGGAAGCAAAAGGAGTATGTAAGCAATGGAGAATTGATTTACGAAGAAAAAATTATGGAGGCACACTACAATGTACTGCGTTGCTGTCATTCGGTCGTTCACTTAGGATAAGTAGAACGAGAGATATAGTGTATTTCTCACGTATATATACACTCATTTAAGATTGATAGTATAGTAATAGAGAGATGTGCCCGTCAATGTACCTATTGACCGCAGTGACGGGATTTCCAGTTACTTTTTGATGCATTGATATCCGAATTGTACAGCCACTTGCGCCCCTGATCGAAGCATTCCAAGGCTTCCAACAGATGTCCACTGGTAGCGCCTGTTAAGTTGTATAACCTGGAAGACCCAATTGGCAATTGAGCTCGTAATGGATTCCGTTTTGGATCAGCGATGCTTACTGTGGACACGCGGCCGTAGGCGAGGCTACTTTGAATCGATTTGCCCAACGTCGCATTGTTGGGACCAACTATTGCTTAGTAAGGATTCAACGCCGCCAACGTTCATACATTAACACTGGAATTCCTGCTAATGTGTATACTAGTTCCGAGAATTTGCTTGGAGCGCCGCTTGTAGACAAAACTCCTAATCTGCAAAAATGATTGTTGGCGGCTGTTTCTGTGGTAGGGTCCGAGTCGAAATTAGCCAGCCTATAGTGTCTGTAAGTTTGATCTAGTGAATCCTTTACTGACACAACATGGCCTTATTTTCTTTCTAATAGGCCCTATGTCACTGTCTTGACTGTCGCAAACTCACCGGGTCTCCTTACTCCTACAATGTCATCGTCCGAACTGCCGAACTACATGTCTCCGGCAGCCCAAAGGAAGTGCCAAAAACAGCAGATAGCGGGAATGACATCAGGAATTATTTCTGTCCTGACTGTGGTATGTATCGTGAGCGGTTGATTGTTCTTGAGAAGCTAGTATCTAATAGATGTGATAGGTACGCCGCTTTTTGGACGGAAGATCAACTCCGCCGGAGAACCTGACGAGACTACCGTTGTCCGGGCAGGGATATTGGACGATGCTGAAAAACTGAACGAACAGAAGCCGCAGGTGGAGATCTACACTGACACCCGATTAGAGTGGATCAGTCCCATCGAGGGGGCTAGTCAATTCAAAGGCATGTTGTCGCAATAGTTTAAAGCTTGAGATCTACGGAAGCGTCGAGATCAAGTTATTAAAAGATGTATCAATAAACGGAGGCAAAGTTGTTTATCAAAAGCTCTACATGAAGGAATCGAGATTCTCGTCATTATCTCCTTTCTCTCGTAGTGCAGCTCAAATTCGATGTGCAAGCTTCGAAAAGGCTTGCCGCCCTGATGGCCTTTGGCGTGACCTGTGAGCCAGGGCGAGTTGTACGGGACTTGTACGTTTCCATGGCACGAGGATGATGAAATATTTTTGCTTTTTGTGTGGATACACATTCTTCAGCAAGGTATCTGGGACATTGAAACTCGTAAACTATCCCGACCCCGTACAAGAAAATCCTTGATATCCAATTCAAACCGCTTCCTTCGCCGTATCCGAGCACCCAGCCTCTATTCAACGCTTAGAACTTGGCGAAAGACTTGACAGCCTTGCCAGTGCGGGGCAGAACGCGCAGGACGTTGAAGCGGACCTATAAAGTATATTAGTTAGACGCAGTTCGGGGAAAACAGGTGTCGTGGAATTGCGATTGTGGTGACAAGGCAGGATTTCCGAGGCGTTTCCAGGAATGCAATGCCATCCAATTCGCAGTTTCGATATGGATTTCAACGTACGGTCTTGGAAAGGGGACGGCACTGGCCGACGGTAACCCAGTCACCCTCAGCGACACGGAAAGCGGGGGAAACGTGGGCGGAGAGGTTCTTGTGGCGCTTCTCGTAACTGTTGAATCGAGTCAGTCAAATGGCCGATTAATTGGCCGGGGAGTCGATTGAGGCGTTATGGCACTGACCGGTTGTACTTGGGGACGTAGTGGAGGTATTCACGGCGGATGACCAGGGTACGGTGCATCTTGGTGGAGACAACGCGACCGGTCAGAATACGGCCACGGATGGAGACCTGACCGACGAAGGGGCACTTCTTGTCTGTTGGAATTGTTAGCTACCATATTCGATATTGTTGCCCGGGTGTCGGAGATCTTCGATGTGGCGTAGGTCCATTTTTTTCGAGGTTGGAAGGTGGAGGAACGCGATTACTCAAGACATCCAGCAAAGAATCAGGGCGCCAGAAGAAGAAAGGCAAAACTGGTCGAGAGTCTTCTGCGTGTCCCTATCCTCAACCACACTCTCGATTCCTGTCCATTGTCTTTATATCGTTGTCCCGTTTCCACCACCGAAAAAATGACCGCAACATCGTAGATCTCCTCGCTCCTGGCGTGGAATTTTATCGTAGGTCGTGCATACCGATGTAGGAGCCCTCAATAGCGGTCTTGGGGGTACGGAAACCCAGACCGACATCCTTGTACCAGCGGCGGCCGGAACCAACCTTCTTGGACTTGGACTTGGTCTTCGAGTTAAGGAAGATGTGAGGCTGCTTCTGGAAAGCGCGCTCGGACTGGACGTTCAACTCGGTCGCCATGGCTGCGGTGTGTTGGTCGACGGGGAAGCGATGGTCGAACTGCGGATGAAAAGATTGGCGGGTCTCGTTCGTCGAAGTTGAGGAAGACTTCGCTAAGTGCGCGGATGGTTGTGTGTGGCCACTAGTCCGTATTTGGACTAGCGTGGGCGGGTTAGGGCTTTTGAACCAAAACGGGTTTGTTTACAATCACGTGATTCAAGACGCGCCTCGGGAGGGAAAGCGTGACGGGGGTTGACTCCAATAGGAAGGAAAGAGAGGGGGGGAATGCGACTATTGAAGTTACTACCCTAGCCCGTCGGGGATCATCTGCACTCCAGCTTCAACCTCCCTCTAACACGCTATGCTTGGGTGATTACACCCCTGCTATCTTTGTCGCCAACATGTCTACTCGCGACACAGGTGCTGCGCGAGTACGCTCTCGCCGCTCTATTGCACATGTACCCCGATCTCGGATGACGTCTGGTCTTGATAAGGAGAATGCGACAACAGACATTGGCGCAGTGCCACCTTTTGAACCCAACACGAAGCCCACTATGAAAGATAAGAAGTCACGAAGTAAGAGTTTAGGACCCGGTGGACTGGACGCTTTGCAGAACTCCAATGGCAATCGACGCAAGGTAGGCAGCTTTTTCTTTGTCGTCTTACAAGCTTTCTTTCCACAGACGCGCGCGCGGAGAAGTATGGTGACATTAACGCAATCGTCTCATAGTCCACGGCCTCTTTTCCTCTCAAATCAATTCTTAAACCTACCGTCCCCGTATCGCCAGTGCGAAACATCCCATCGTTCGAGGAAACTCGTCGTCGCACTCCGGCTCGTAATGCGCAAAGCCAGGAGTCGAGCTGGGAATCTAGCAGTCAGAATCAGGAGGGCCTTTTGATCGACTTTGCAACGCCCCCTCGACCCGCCGCTGAAGGAGATGATACCGCCAATCCATTCGACACTTTCAACGCAACAACTGCGATCCGCGAGGAGATGGCGGCCACCAAGGAGCGTGATGACAAGGAACGTCGGGAGCGCGAACGCCAAGCTATCCTAGAGAAACGAGCGGCGCGAAGGAAGTCAATGGGTAAGTCCCATATTCCACATTGGACGACATCATTCAATCTGACTTTTACTAACACTATCTATACAGCGAATCGTCGTGTCTCATTTGCCCCGGAGGCTACACTGCACACCTGGAACGTGGTGGAGATTCCCGACGACTCGACATCTTCCTCTGCAGCAAACTCTACTCGACGCGCCTCTACTGTGAACAACTCCGAAGCCAAGGCCCAAGCACCCAGCCCTGCCAAAGAGGCCCCATCGTCACCTGAAACAGATGCTGGCTCAGATTTCGGTTTCTCGCCTATTCGTCAGCAAGATCTTGAGCAGATGCGAGGTCGGTCTGGATCCTCAGGCGAAGATGAAGGCCCAACGGAAATGTCATCCAGTCCATTTAACGGAAGCTCGCCAGGCAGCGAGGATACCGGCGCACAAAGCCTGGGAGAAGTGGAGGAAGATGATGGCCAGTCCTCAGAGTCAGATGATGGCTTTGATGCCGAAAGTACTGCTATGAGTATGGATGACATGACGGCCCGTTCCGGCGTCAGTGTACAGTCGGACGTTTCTTCTAGTTCGAGTTCCAGTGCTAGACTGAATGACGCATTGCGACAAGCTGCAAAGGAAGCTGGAACACAGGCCGTTGATGAAGAGGATGGAGAAATGTCGATGGAGATTGCAGACCAGGAAATCACTGGCGCTTTCCAACCCTGGATCAAGAAGGGCCAAAGGCAAAGCTTCGACTGGTCGGATATTAGTGCTCGACATGACCAAGAAAACATGGACCCATCCAAGGTCGCTTCGGAAAACGATGCCCCCGGGTCAGATGAGATGGACGAAGATGAAGAGATGAGCATGGACGTGACGAATGCGATCGGACGGATACTCGGTAAAACATCTGGTCATCGGAAGAGTGCCGTGCGTCGGCAGTCCACTGCACAGCAAAGCGAATACGACGATCAAACCATGGAGATGACAAACGTTGTTGGAGGAGGAATTGAAAGGGTCGATTTCGCCCAACCCGATCACAATGACAACGACAATGCCGACGAAGATGAAGAGATGACCATGGAGTTCACTTCGGCCATTGGAAAAGTCCTCAGCAAAGGACCGTCCTATGAACAAGGTGCAGAACAAGTTGCTACTGACACACCCAAGTCAGACCGCATGACCGACGATCAAGATAATAGTTCGGACGATGGGATGGAAATGGAAATGACCGGTGCAGTTGGTGGCATTCTTCCGTGGGGCAAGAAATCCAGGACAAATTCCAAGCAAAGAGGCTAATGGAACTGGAAGCTGAGTCCGGGCAATTGAACAGCTCTCCCTTTCAAGAGATCACTCAAAAGTCCCCAGCCAAGTCCCCAGCCAAATCACCTTTGTCATTTCAGGTGGCGGCGGTGGCCTCGGAGCATGGAAGCCCTAGCTTGGCGAGTGTCAAATCTCGGACTCCTCGACGTAGTTCTCTTTTGGGGGTATCGAATACACCAGAGTCCAACACCCCGCGCCGTTCGCCACGCAAATCACCCACGAAGAAACCATTAACACCTCCTAAGCAGTCTACACCTCAGACGAAGCCGGCCACACCAAGCAAGACACCCCCATCTGCAAATGTATCATTCCGAAGTGCTTCTCCAAAGAAGCTTTTCCGGCCTGAACTCCAAAATCAACGCTCCGCGGACAAGAAGAAATCACCCCGTCTCAGTATATTCGAACAGGACACAAATGGCGGATCGTCTACTCCTCGAATTGTATTGCAACCCCGAGAGGCACGGCGCTCTTCCGGCCTGGGAATTGACAAAGAAGGGCTTGGGTCTCCCCGCGTAGTTGCTCTACTTGACAAGCGCCTGTCACTCGGTGAAAACACACCACAGTTTGTTCCTCAGCAACAGCCGCGAGGTGGTGTGCGCTTTGAAAACCCGTTGAAGATGCAGGCGGACGAGGAAAGAGACCGCGAGGAAGAGGAGCTTAGAGAGGATGGGCATATTCAGCCTTCCAACTCCACGAGCAGCGATATTGGCTCAAATCTGAGGAATATGATTTCTAGCATGAGCCCGAAGAAGGGCAAAATTGGAAGTCGGAAAAGCCTCCATGTTGGTGCTGCGCGTGGCATCCTTGGCAAGCGACCAGCTGAACTTGACTTTGACGAAGACGAAGTCGAGAATTCTCCCAAACGTCTCCGTGGCCATGACGTGAGCCCTGTCAAGGCAGTGCGACTTCCGGGCCCATCACCGGCCAAGAAAGATCCCACCCGGCGATCGATTCTCTCTCCTGTTCGTAGGGCTCGGAGCTCCTCGCCGCTCAAGGGTAGCACCACTCCCACCCAGTCGCCGCAGAGTGCCTCGAAGAAGGGAATCACTCCTCTGAAGGAAGGTGTGGATTCTCTTCATATTGCTTCGGATCCTCAACAGCCAGAGCCAGAAGAGGGCCTCCCTGACCACGAGCTCGAGCCTGACGTAGAGCCTATTCAGCTGCAGGATTTCCTCAACATGACCAATATTCATTTCATGGAACTCACCACCACGAAGAGACGACACACGACTGCGCCTGGAAGTGCTACTAGGAGGTTGAGCAGACGGTCTGGGGAGCACGTTCCCAAGGCAGGAACGTTCACCTTTGATGACTGCGTGGCTGCTGGACTGTGCACGGTGCCCATGCTGGAGTTATATCAACACGTGAGCTCTTTCCCGCTTTCTAGATTCCGAATTCTACTAATCTCAAGCTCATTTAGTCCTGTCGCGAGTTGAAGTCGTATATTTCCGAAGGCCGTCAAGTCATTCGATCCATTGAGGCCGAAACCTATACCGAGAACCCTCCCCTATTCCGGGAATATATGACGGCCCCACCAGACATCCGAGTGATCATGGACAACCAGTTCCGGAATGTGAAGACACACGCGCGATTGTTGAGTAAGGCGACGTGGTATGAGTGGCGAATGAAGTTGCTTGAAGGTCTCAAAGAAGGGCTTATCCGTCACGTGGATGACATGAAAGCCGATGATGCTTTATTGTCTAAACGCGAGGAGATTCTCAACAATGTCGTTCCTCCACTGGTAGAGAAGCAAGCATCTCTCGAACAAGAAGCGGAAAATCTGAGGCAGCTGGTTGAAGAAATGGAAAGCTGTGATCAAGATGAGCTGCGTGGCACGCGTGAGAAGCTTTCCACTATTGATGATGAAATCGAGGCCAAGCAACGAGAACTTGAGCAGCTCCAGGCAGAGGTTCAGGAAAAGACTGAGATCATCGATGCAGGGACCGAGATGAGTAATGAGTTTTTGGGTGAAATCCAGGAAGCGGAGCGTATCAAGGAGGAGTGTCGTGGGTGGAGTGCTCGCGACATCAATGAGCTGAAGAACTCTGTTCAACGTATAGAGCGCCAGACCGGTTGGTCAATCCTCTCTGCCTCTTCCTTGCAGGAGAAGTCCGCCAATCCAATGTTGGCCATGTCCTACCAGGGCCAGCTCCAGATCAAGTTTCACCCCGGCGCATTTGCGACGAAGATATCCAGCGACACAGAGAAGACTAACCAGCTTCTCGAACTGAGCTCCGTGAAAGGCAAAACAACCTCACCGATCGCATATTTCGCTCTCAAGTCGATGCAACAACATCTCTCTACAATAAACCAATCCAAAACCGCCCCGAACGAACTGCTCCGCTTTATCTCCTCCGCCTGGGATCGCACCGTGGGCCTAGAGAACGAGGCCCGCATGCTAGAATTCTGCGGCGTCACTCGCCTCACCCTTTCGGAACCAAAGAATTCGTCTCTCTTCATACGTGCCCGCTGCACCCTCCTCGGCAATGCAGCTGTCCCCTCCACTCCTAGCCGTAAGGCTTCCGCAACAAAGAAAACCGGCGCCAAGCGAATCGACGTTGACTTTAACGTCCACACACGCGTCAGAGCTGGGAGCGGCGAGGCCAAAGAAATTGGCACCTTTGATTTCCACATCGATGCCATAGCGACGAAAGTCTACGGCTTCGGCATAGGCAATAAGTCGGGGTTGTCAGGCGAGGAAATGGAGGGTATCCTTGGCAAAGGACTCACCCCAGGGACGGGGCACAGCTTGGCAATGGTGTTTGGTGCAAGGCTGTGCGTATGCTTACGGGATCTGCTTTTTGAGTTTTATACCTAGGTGACTTTCATTTTTTACCTTGTTTTTTAGTCTTCGTTTTTCGTTTGGGGTGAATGGGATCATTTGGTGGGAACTGGGATGTCGGACTGGATATGGAATGGAATGGGATCCGGATGGAGACTAGGAGTTTGGTATTGGAATTCTTCACTTGCGATTCAGCGACCATTTCAATGATTATTTTATTCATTCTATTCACTTGATATATCAATTCCCGTCTATGCAAGTAACCCCAGCTTGATATTGGAGTTCATTAGTCTTGTTGACAAGTAACGTTTAACTAACTAGTTGACTAGCCGTGGTAGGGGTTTCTGAAGTATGTGTTGTAGCTCGCCAAGTGTTATATGCGAAATCATGGACAGAGTCAACCGTCCAGTCAATAAGAAAAAAGAGATGGGAAAGAGAAGCGCTAGGAGTATTTCATGAAAGTCATCACACGCAGCGCCAAATTGAAGCGCGGGCCGAGAGGATAAGATATTGTCACCATCCAAAAAGAATCCACCTGCAAACCCACTTGCAGGAAGGAAATTCTATCAAAAAAGACCCAAAAACCCCTGCGGCCAATGATCAGGATCCTGATTAGAACCCTGCGTCGCAGCAGAAGGCATCTGCGAGTAATCCATACTATCCGTACCGAAGGGGAGTTCCGGATTGATGGTTGCTGTGTGAAGGTCATTCTGCGACGGGCCCTGGTTTAGGAATGATTCGGCGTCGAGGATCGGCATGGGCATTTCCTGGCCTGTGCCGGCTGCTGCGATTGCTTCTGTGGGGAAGAGTCCTGACCAGAGATTATCACCATACTCCCAATTCGCTGTCAGAGGGATCTGCCAGGATTCTGGGATCGATGCGCTTTGAGTGCTTGTTTGGGAGAAAGGAGATTGATTTGGGTCTAGTGGGGAGGAGTTGGTTGTGTTCCCTTGTTGGTCGGGTAGATGGGTCTGGGTCTGCGGCCAGGGCATTGCGTTTAAGTTGGAGGCGTTGGGGTTCATGTTGCTCAGGCCGAGTCCAGGGTAGTTTGAGGGAGGCGGTAGTTGGTTGGGGAAAGTTGCAGTGGAATAGTCGGTTTCACCGGGGCTCATAGGTACGACGTAGCCCGAGGAGTTGACTGGTGGTAGGCCTTCGATGGATTCTGGAATTCCAAAGTCTGCCATGTAGGAGCTGGCTGTTGCGGACGGGTTTGAGGCGCGCGGCGTGTCGGACGTTTGGTAATGGTAGGATCCTGCAGCATCGGTGTTCATTGATGTTCGCAGGGTTGTGGGACGCGGACGAGGTTTGGGCTTCGATGCTGATGCCGTGCAAGAGAGATGCCTTTTTGAGGTGGGTGGGTGCTGGGCCTGGTCATTATCTTCTGGGCTGCGAGCCCGTTTCTCATGCTTGGCTACTACTAGCCGGGCGGTGCGCTCCAGATACCCGCAGACTTTGGCCATGAAACCGGCGTAATTGGCAGGCCCGTCACCCGGGACGAGCGTCGCGAAGAATGTTGAGGCCATGTTGAGAGCCTGGAGGTCATCGCGCACTGACGAGGAGTGGGTGTCTCGGAGGATATTCGAGAAGATGGTTGCGGCGGCAAGAAATACGTAGTATAGCAGGGACCTGTTATAGTTCACGGTTAGGGATGGGCGAGCCTTTGCGGTGGAGAATAGCCGCTTACCAGATCCATGCAATATCTCCCCATGGCATATTATTGACGAGTTTCAGCGTATCTCGCGCAGCAGTAACACAAATGACAGCCGCTTTAGACGCTCTCGCCTTGCTGAAAGACTTGAGATCCTCTGGCTCATCCTCTCGAGAAGATATTAAGAAGCTGAGAAGGAGGGGTATTCGATGAATCATGATCAAGGCATTATAATAAACCAGGTGGAGACCGATGGCTCCAAAGCCAAATAGAAAATCGGTCTGAGCAATTTTTCGCTCGGGTGCTTCGAGAGGATAGTCCTTTCTCCACTCTTCGAGCTCTGCATGTAGTTCCTTCACGACCTTGTAGGTTTCATGGGGAGGCTTCAGCATTGCTTTGGCGGCATACAGTCGACAGAAAATGCGGCTCTTGATTACTGACATTCGACAAAGTTGGCGGAAAAATGTGATGCTGGTGGCCATCTCAGGGTTCTTTTTCTCTTCCTCCAGCTCCTGTGGAAGAGGCACATCGAAGTCATCGGGGTGTTGCGATGGGGCATTTCCAGCCCTTAGGCATGTACTGTGAGTCATTCTTTAGTATATACTTCAGTATTCAGTTTGCCTTGGATCATCTCATACCTTTGGTCCACTGTAAAGGCAACCCAGAATACGCGTCGTCGTTGTTCCTGATCTGTGAGGCTCAAATCTGGCCGGTGGATGTTTCGGTGTAAGCCCATTCGCTGACAGGACCGCATGGCTGCGGTGGTGAACGGCATTGCAGACTGGGTGCCGGAGTTTCCGCGAAGAAAAAAGGCCTGTAATTGTTGTTAGCTCCAAAGGACCGTGGTGAAACCTGAGCAATGCGCAAACTTACCATGCTCATTAACGCCTGGACACTCAAAAGATCAGTCCGTCGCAAGGCCAGCTCTGTGAAAACGGACATGGCATTCTTGAAATACATCCGAGCCCTTTCACGGTCTTTCTCCGGTTTCAAGCTATTCGAGTATCGAAATTCATATGCTAGGCAGATAACCATATTGATACTGGCCCATCGCGCTGCGTCGTCACAGGTTTGCTGAGTATATTGCCACTCAACCATTTTCATAAAGGAACCCTCATGGAAGATCGGAAACAGTCTATTCGCCGACCGAAAGTAGTCATTAATGAGCGAGAACACCTCCAATCGCGATGGGAGAGGTCGGTAAACCTGGGAGGCGAAGAGATCGTGAAATACATCTGGCCGCCACGTGCCCCACGGACTATCGTGAACGGAGTCAGTGGAGAGAAGACGCAAGAAACTGAGATCGCCAGTTTTGCTCTTGATCCACTCGATGCCTCCTCTTGAAAGAATTGACAATGAGCAGGACCTTCCAAGATAACGTGGATCGTCGCTATTATGCGCTCGGAAGATGGGCGTACCCTCGAGGTCACCGCCGGCATCATGTTTATTCAATTGATGGCCAGTCTCTGATGAAGTATTTGACTCAAACGAAGGGCGGGAAGTGCTTTCTGAAGATCCTTTGGGTTGATCAAGTGCCTCCCAGTTATCATTTAGGTAGCCATCGTCATCAGAATCATAATTATGAGCAACACCGTTGCCGTCGCCGCCGACATAATCATCACCAACATCATCTTCATCTTCATCGAAATGATCATTAGTCATGTCGTCCTCAGGCAGGACACCAGCCATTTTCAGCAGCGCCTCGACTTTCTCCAGGCGAGTCTTCAAAGATTGCACGTATTTGTCTCTGTTGATGATAAGCAAAATATCCCTTTTATACAATGGTTGGAAGAGGGAGATCTACCGTTGCTCCTCCCGCTGCGGCTGCGGCTGTGGCTGGATACCAGGAAAGACGCATTGGGAGCCACGCCGGGTGCACTGTACACAGACTAGATTCAAGTCATCGAGTTCACATTTCGTCTTCTTCCGATAGCACATATCACAGGCCTGGATAAAGTCATCCGGTTAGCACAATCATCACCAAAGCCTTCACCACCATCACCATCGCCGTGGCCATCGGTATCTCCGGATGGCGGAGGCGAGTCACAATGCCGTTTCTCTCTTTTGCACAGGTCCAAGAACGCGACATACCCTTTGACTTCGTCTCCGCCCAGAGGAGCTGGAGACTGCGGGGGTGGAGATCGTATCCATGCCACCGGAGGTTATGCCATGAGATTGTAGCATTGCGTTGTGCATTTTCCCCGGGAACTCCGCGTTTTACGCCAAGACTTTGCCTAGCGGGCGCCAAAGGGAATTCGGGAAAGCGCTTTAGCGCGAATATATTAGACGCTGGATCATGGGGAATTGCCCTGAAATATCCAGGGACTTATTGGGGCTCTGGTTTAAATTGCGGAAGTGCTGGCGAAGACTCAACTGCGGTTGCCACAATGCTCGGAGGTTGGCCCCCTCCCCTCGGAGTCCGGGTGTGCCGATTCCCGACTTCCGTTTGGTGGGGGAAACTGCTGTACGAGGTACACTGCGGGTATTATGTTAACGTTTATTTTACTACCTTGGGTATTGTTAGGCTCTATCCTTAATTTATTCAAAATGTTCCTTTGAAATCTGGTTATACTAGCAGTATCATTGTCTATTATATACAAATCTCGGAAGTCTAACGAGATGAAAGCCTACAAGTACATGCACAGCTTATTAATAGCGCCTACAATAACCAACTTCCGAGTCAAGTTTAGGACAATGTGACAATAGGTGATTATAGTGAGACTATGAATATCTCTACTGTGAGTATGCAAATGCTATGGGCATCTGTTGAAAAGCAAGCTTTAACTTTAACCTAGATAATAGTATAAGGTACCACTGCCTCAAGCTGCAGTATATATTCATGTTGAACTCTAGTAAGGCGACAAGTAAAAGCGAGGATATTAGTACAGTGTATAAGGAAAAAAATTTAGCTATCGTAGTAGAGAACATGAGGTTTTGTTCCATTGAGTTAAGGACAGGTGATCGCTGATCGGCTAATGCTGGAACTATTGTTATCAAAAAGCCAAGGTGGTGTAGTAGTAGCACGCGTGAGTCACAACCAAAAGGGTGCCTTCAAGCATTCAAACTTTCAACTTTCAAGGGGCGAGAACCAGGGTCGAATCCTGGCCTTGGCGTATCTTTTTCTTCTTTCCCTTTCTGAGTATACTGGTAGCTTATTCTAGCTGTGATGGTTTTCCTTTTTGGCCGATTTTCTACATTTTGGTTAAGTCCATAGGCCTGAAGAACCTTAGCAAATTTCGAAAATAACTGGATTAGTATATTTATACTATCTTTACCAAGGAGACCGCCTCTGCCGATGCTAAACTACATCGATCGACTGTTAGTGAGCATACTCCTGACGTACGCAGATCAACGCAGCCGCTAGTATGTCAGTAATGAAGATAGCCAGTATTAGACGTAAATAATATGAAATCTGAATTCCTGCCCATTTATATACTCAGTACCCTAAATTGTAAGCATAGCTTTGCTGAGGGAGGAGGGAGTGACGGGGCCGTATAGGGAACACTCGTCATCCTGGGACCCTGGCAGAAACAATGGGTCTATGGAGGCTGTAGATAGCGGGGCTAGAAACAAGTGGGATCAAAAGAAAACATAACCTGCACCGACCACTCCAATGCCCAGTCCAAGCTAATCTCCATCGCACAGATCTACATGAGCTTGTTATCAGTAGCCTGACGAGACCTAACCCCGCAAGCACGCGCAGCTTACAAATAGCTCCTCCCCGCAGCAGCCAACCTTAGGAGAACGTTGATAAAAGGCATTGGGTGACCACAGTAAGACTGCCGACATCTCTACTGTGATCATCATGCGCGCAACGACCGTGGGAATCATCTCCATTGGAGATATGGGACTGGGGATAGCCAAGCTACTCCAATCCCACGGCTTTCGCGTAGTCACCGTCACTCAAGGCCGGAGGTAATGTTAACTTGAACCTTTACTTATTACCTGACGCCTGGCACGTTACCATCTTACATATATTTGCATCTTACCACTGGAGGAAGTTCCTACTCATGCTAATCTAAATTGACTGTTAGTGAGCATACTCTTACGCGGATCCGCGCAGCCGCTATCGAGGCATTCCCCTCGGACCACGAACTGGTCGTTCAGGCCGACTACATTCTCTCCATTGTACCACCCCGCAATGCATTCGTGACGGCTGAACGTGTCGCGGAAGCCTGCAGACAGCCCGAGACGCAATCACAAAGAGAATTATTGGAAGATGTCAACGGACAGCCCGGCCGAAGCCCACTCTACTTTCTCGAACTCAACGCTACGCCCGCCCGATCGGCCGAGGAGACAGCGGCTCTGTTCCAGACCCAGACCCAGACCCAGACCCAGGATCAGGACCAGGACCAGGACCAGACACCGCGGAGATCTGTTCCAAATATCTTTCTCGATGGTGGAATTATTGGGGCTCCACCGACGCAGCGGCCGGATGGATCGTGGAAAAAGCCTAGTGTGGTAGTCTCGGGGACAGTGGAGAACCCTACGCCAGCAACTTTCACCGAGCTGGCGAGAGCGCTGAATGTAAAAGTAGTATCGGAACGAATCGGGGCTGCGTCGACGCTGAAATTGACGTTCGCGGCGCTGACGAAGGGACTCACGGCGTTGTCGATATTGTCCTTCTCCACGGCGGAGCGGGAGGCGGTGCTCCCGGAATTACTGGCACACTTGGACGAATATTCGCCCGCGACGGCAGGGTTGGCGCGGTCTGGGGTGGTGGGAATGAGTCCAAAGGCATATCGATGGGAGGAGGAGATGCGTGGGATTGGAGAGACGTTGGATCGGGAGGGTGGGTGGGATGGAGTGGGAGAGAGGGTGTACGGCGGGATCGCGGAAATCTACCGTACGGTGGCGGAGGAGACGATCCTCGGCCAAGAACGAGTTGGGCAGCGGGAGCGAGGGACCAGTGTCGAGGACGCGGCCCAGATTATTGCTGGACGTAAAGACTATAAGGGGGGATAGTGCTGCTGGATAGGTGGATCGCGATCGGTGCAAGTAGTCGGCTCGGGGAGAAGAAGCTTGTCAGCCGGGGGAGGGGGTCGTATATCAAGGCTAGTACGAGCACAGTAGTACAGTTGTACAGTACAGTAGTACAAGAAATCTCTAAATGTCCGGATTATCGGTACGGAGTAGTCGTACTTCGTGAAGACCATGTGGAAAGCCACTTTACTTAAGACTCTAGGACCGCGTCATCTCCGGGAAGTAGGCTTTGGTAGCGTAGCGTGGGTACCTGTTACAATAGGGACGGTGGAGACGGGGCCGAGGCACTGAGAGCAGTCAGGAGGGAGTGGGAGGGAGTGGGAGGGAGTGGGAGGGAGTGGGAGGGAGTCTGGGGATGGAGATGATGGAGATGGGATAGACTATGTAAATCATGTACTCGTACATAGTATACTAACTAGTAACTAGCATACTTATATTCTAGTTTATACTACACTCTAGTTATACAATACTACTAGTAATACTATACTATAGTATAATTCTACCACCGTACACTGTATACTGTACACCCCAGGCGGTCAATCAGCGTCCCGATGTCGTGATTTCGCCCATCTATCAGATCATCGACTAGCAGATCTCTTGCGTCCGCCATCGTCACGCCTTCTCCTCTTCGCTCGTGGCTTTCCCCCTTGTCACGTCTGGTTCGGTCTCCCCCTTTTGCCTTTTTTTTCTGATCATCTCGGCTCTGATTCGTGGTTCGGGTGGCGCGTTATGCGACTGGCAATGGAGTAGCCCATCGGGATTACCTGTGCCATCATTACACATTGTCTCAACTCCCACTCCCCTCTCTCCCCAGTACCTTGGTCACTACGTATTCACTGCCCACTTCTTGAAATCGTGTACACGGAAAGACCTAGGGCATACGGCATATTCTCTCCCTCTGGCTCTGCTGATCGGGAGAACCAACCCTAAGCATCCCCATACCTCTCCTCTTTTACTCTTTTCCTTTTCCCCTTCCCTTTTCCCTTTTTTAACTCTTCCCTTCCCCATCCATCCCCATCGCCTGTGTCCCTCCAATATCATGCCGGAGGAACAACCAAGGCCTGCGGGCCCCGGCTTCGACAAAATTGAAAATTTCAATTTCCTACTGTCGCGCACTGATCCATCAGCCAAGGGTCGGCAATATTCCTTTGACGGAGATACTGGGCTGGTCCCGTTCGCCAATGTGAACATAGATTACGATCAGACTGAAGGCATGGGCGGTCTGTCTGTCAGTTCCTACGACAGCATTGATGATGACCGCGCCTCTCTGGATCTCCGAGGATATCCTTATCACGGTATGTTGTGATTGATCTTCTTTTTTTTTTTTGATATTTTATACTTTTTTTGGAGGGAATGTATTTTGCTTTTGCATTTCTTGTGTTGCCAGAGGTTGCATCTCTTGCGCCATCGCAAGGCTTGATGGTTCGTGCCAGTTGGGCTGGGCGCGCTTCTCGGTCGGCACTTTCAATGCTGGGACTGCAAGTCATGTCTTATTCTGAATTCCATTCTGCGTATTCTTGTGGTCTTTTCCTCCCTTTGGATCAGGGACATGGACCATGCCCTGGGTCTTCAACGGTTTAACGGTCAGCGGTTCCCCTTAACCGCTAACCCGTCCAAACCTTTGACCACCATTCCCACACCCACTCCCATCAGAGCTGCCAGCACCAGCTGCCACCGATCTGTCTGCACGATCACATACGATCTACCCCGGACAGTCCAACTGCTCCATTTTTTGGGTTTTGCGAGCTCGTGCTCATCGAGGCAGCCGGGATCATCATCAGCTAGCGAGCACGCAATCCCGCATGCAAATGACACGCGCAGCGTCATGGCTGTGGATGGCTGGCAGCCAACCTGAACCCTTATTGCCTATTCCCTCTTTTCTCTTATTTCCCCATTTTCTGGCCTATTCGCGAGATGACCATCTCCTCAGCCTCGGAGGGCCCTGCCTCATCTCTATTTTCACCTCCATTTCCTCCTTGAACCTTTGCAATTTCCTCCCCTCCTGCTCTTCTCTTCTCTTCTCTTCTGTTTCTTCTCGGCGACTCCCTCCTACAACCTGACGAACCCCTTCTCCCCTCCATCATGTCGTCCTCTCGAGGGTATCGTCGACCAGACCGCTTACTCCCTCCAGGTCCTACTGGCGACAAGTCTATCAATTATTCTATTCCCGACCACATGATGCCCTATTCGGCTCACTCTATATATCCTCCTGT